TATATATATATATATATATATATATATATATATATATATATATATATATATATATATATATATAATACGCCAAGCATGCTACACAGCGGCGGATATTACGGGAAGGCTCGACTCGTCGCGGTTTTCTCCTTCGCCGTGCGTTAATAGTAATAAAGACATTATATATGGTCTGAGGAATTAAAATCGAGGTATGTGCCAGGCGTTCGTGTTCGTTTAACTCCAATTTGATTGTGCCCGCGTTCACGTTTCTCTGAACGCGGATTGATTCAGTGTTTTCGCTTACTGTGTCTATAAACGAGATACCTGCGTACCAGCAGCACGTGCATACAAGTGACTACCGAGTTCGCCTGATCGCCCATTCGATTTGCATTCGTGTTTTCGTTTGCGCACGTGCCGGGACTCGCGCGATTCGATCCCCTGGTAACCCTGACAACTCCCTCCGTCAGCCCGGACGACTGCCGGACTGCGCTAAATAGATGGACGACAGTCCGTACACTTCGAGAGTCCCATGGAAAAGAGCCGGGGGCACGGACTGGGAGGAGCGACGCCCGGTAGACGCCCGTAATTTCGTCATCAGTCGCAATCGATTGCCGACGAGTCGAGTCGAATCGAATTGCCTCGCATAAGTTGCTCTCGTAGGAGCGAGGTGTCGTGGGAATTGAGGTTGATAACAGGGCCAAACGTGTTACATTACGTCGAAACGACGCGGAATGAAGGTCGGATCGTACATCTGCCAGCCGGATACTTACGGCGCTGACTTTTCGCACTTTATTGGCAGCGCTGTGGTTGTTGTTGATTTGTTTATGCCTCTGATCGCTCGCGGACTCGATCGAGCGTATGCTCATTTTCTCCTTGTTGTTGTCGTCGTTGCCTTTCTCCTGGCCGACGAACAGCTCGTAGCTGTGACACGAAAAGTCCGACGGCGACTTGACGATCTGCTCCGCGGCGGCGACCGCTGCCGCGGCCGCGGCTTCCCGCGCCGCAGCTTGCGCCGCGAGCTTGTTCTCTTTCGCCAATGCGGCCTCCTCAGCTTCCTGTCGACATAAATGGAACGACATACGTCAGTGCTTTCGAATAATTCTAATTTCGAGAGAGACTACACTCTCTCAACAAACTCTGGTTTGACATTTTTGTGTAAGACTTTACAATTGCAAATGTTCAAATATTTATTAGTCAGAATATTCTATATTTCTGTGCAGCAAATGCCACTATAGTAGTTTTAACAACCTCATACTCAGTAAACATCAACTGACAGCAGCGTTATATCAATGTTATAATTTACCACTTCGCGGTATAACTGTTATATATACGAAGAAAATATTGTAGCAAAATTATATTTCTTTTTGCAGTTTTTTGTAAAGCTGGACTGATATTGTAATATAAATTATTATAGAAATAGTAAATTTGATGACCTACTTTGATAAAAAAAAAAAAAACATTCAAGTAATTACAATAATTTTATAATAAAAAATTGTTTAATATTTTTAAACAAATATATTGTAATTTTGATCATAATTCTGTATGATCTAAGTTTACGAGAAAATTTTATTGTAATTTTTACTACTATATTTTCATTCCAGTAATTACAATAATTTTATAATAAAAAATTATTTAATATTTTTAAACAAATATATTGTAATTTTGATCATAATTCTGTAAGATTTAAGTTTACGAGAAGATTTTATTGTAATTTTTACTACTATATTTTCATATACAGCATTGTTAATATTGTATATTATACTTTTACATTTTTACACTTTTATTGAGTGGGAAATTATGACATTGATGTAATGTTACTTTTAGTTGGTGTTTACTGGGTATGCACACTGCTGCTATTATTCTTTTATTAGAACAACAAAAACATAGTTGGCGCTCAAAGTTTGTATAATGCGATTAATAATCTTAATTCTCTCAATATATCGATATTCGTTCTTGTTCACTCACCCTCATGGCTTCCTCCTCGGCGGCTTCCTCCTCTTCAGCCTTCTTTTGCAACTCGTCGTATGACATCGCGACAATGGCGAGGATCAAATTCACGAGATAGAAGGATCCAAGGAAAATGATGACGATGAAGAAGAGCATGTGCCACGGTCCGGCCGATCTCAGCACCAGTTGATAGAGATTTTCCCAATAATCCTGAGTCATAAGACGAAAGGCGGAGAGCAATGCCCACCCGAATGTGTCGAAGCTCGTGTAGCCGTAATTTGGATTATCGCCGTACCCTTGTAAACATGTGTAGCCGGGAAGGCACTGCCTGCGTGCGGAAAACATCGCATGATTTTTGCATCTTATGGACGCCCATTGTAAACCCGCTTCAACGTCAACATTGGGCGCATTCAGTAGAAAAAGCGCTCAGTGAGCAATCAACGATTATTGGTTCTTGCTATTAGATCCCTAAATCTAGACCAATTACATTGACAAATTACTCAACTGTTGTGCAACTGTTGAGTCTACTGAATGCAGCCATTATCTTTCTCTCTTTTAACGGTCGATCTTGACGTTCTTTCGTCCGAGTTGACAGTATTATTAAAAAAAAAAAAGAAAAAATGTAACGTAAATAAATAATCGTCAACTTACCCTGCCCCCGATGAATTTCCGCATAAGGGCATATTTTTAGCCTCGTCCACGTACCAATTAGCTGCGTGGGAGAAACAACGACACAATGCGCGATTTAATAATGTATTATCGGAAATTAATTTCAAGGGAAACTCTTCATTATTCTCATGAAATCATCAGCTTGCGTGAAAAGCTCTTCGTTAACATTGGCGTTTACACTCGAAAGTTTATGCTAGTGAAATATCGCTGAGCTGACTGAAACTACGGGAGTCTTCTTTAGAGAACATTTTAAGATACGTCACGGAGGGAACTACTTACTATCATTACTAACGAATCGCTCCCAATTCTCGTGTGTGAGATTGCCCCAGGAGCCGTCCTCAGGAAAGTTCTTTATACACTTTTGCGTGAGGACCCCCATATAAATCTGAAGGCCCATCAGCGCAAAGACGGAGAGGGAGAACATCGTCAGGATTATCACATCGCGCAGGTTCTTCACGGATTCTATCACAGCGCCGACAATGGTTTTCAAACCTAGAAAACGAGAACAGAAGGACAGTAGACTCAGTGTGGGGCCCGCGACAACAGCAGCCGCTCGGAAAAAGCATCCTGTATCGGCTTGCCGTGCGAAAGAGATGGCGACTCGACCGAGGCAGGCATGTGGATGAAATGTGAGAGATGCGAGAGTGTCTCGGAAGGACCGACGTAAGAAAAGAGATCTTGAAGGTTTGGGAGGAGCATCGAATACGCGCGCAATGTACTGCAATCTCACGAATTGCGTAACATTATAGTCGTCTTCCGAAATGCGCAGAAAGCACTGACAGTATTGTTCTTACGTTCTGAAATTGTTTTCAGCGTGCTGTAAGAAAGTAACAGTTACTGCCTTTTTTATGTAAATAACTCCTAAAGAAATGCAGATTTCCAGCTGATTTACATACTCTCGAGATAATGCAAGTTCAGTAATGCATATAGTGACTGGCAGTTTAAACTAAACAAGTAAGAATCATGTAAAAAAAATAAGAGGAAAGAGAATTACAAACGATGTTATTGATGAAATATACACTAATTAATGAAAGTTAAAATAATATGTACGAAATATATTTCTCTATTGCCAGATATGATTATCAAGAAAGTATTATCAAGTTACAATTATTAACTCTTACAATTGTTAAAGAAAATGAAGAATGAAATAAAGTCATGAATCATGATTCATGACTTCAGCAGCGGTACTGTCAGTACTGTCAACGCTTCGCGAAAGACCGTTTCTGTCACATACTGGATATCCCGAAGTTATCGCGATTCTAAGATCAGAAATGAAGTTTCGCTCGGTCGAGCTTTGGAAAGAATTGATCGATACAAGTAACCTTTCTCTCTTTTCACGCGTATTTCACTCCGGATTAGCCGGAGTAATTAAAAAAGATTCGTGCATCGAGTTCGATAATTCGTTTCGCGTAATCAAGACCGGAAAAAGGAGGTGAAGGTTAAGGAGAAGGAAATAAAAATGGAAAGGGAGACAAATCGATCTGAAGGGAGGAATAAATGTCGCGTGCCGTGGAAATATATGCCGGATGGCAAACAGGAACGACGATGTGAAGTGGTGCGAGCGAGGCTGCGTCGAAAGAGATGTGAAACTGTCTGTCGTAGACACGTGATGATACGGGCGAACGTGTGTACAACGACCGCGGCAAGTGTCTAGAAACCACTATTTGCATCTACAACCACTTCTATTCTCTAAGCATACCTGGTACAATAGCGACAGTCTTCAAGGCTCGGAGGACTCGAAATGTCCTGAGAGCGGCAAGGTTGCCTAGATCTATGCCCATCGTCACATAACTGCAATACACCCGAACATCACACACATTACAGTGATACAAACAAAAAGACAGAACTTTTAGAAAAAAAAAAAAAGATCGGGGGAGGTAGTGGTGTGATAGTTACGCAAACGGTCATAATACTCGCTACTTTTCCTATTGCCTACCAAAAGTCTGCATGAACTGCAAAGTGTAATCGTATATAAAGGTAGCTATTACTGCATGCACGATTCAACGTAACACGCCGTGTACCGCTTGCCACGCGTTCCTGCTGCTCGCCGAGAGATCTTCCTCACGAGCCCGTCGCGTTATTTCCAACGGCGACGATATCTCTCGCACGTCCCGTCGTCGCGACGAGCGCGATTCGAACGATCGCGACGCGCGAAATATATCACGCGGCTGTCAAATTATTTTCGCCGTTGCCATGCGGATTTCTCGTCGACGACATTGAACGTTGCTCCCCGGATCCGGATCCTTTTACCGCGGCGAGATACAATCGCGATTTTAATAGCGATACAATCGCGCCGAATCGTTCTAATAGGGCGTTTTGATTGGATCGACACCGTAAACGGGAGGATCGGATTCGTAATCGGCTCCCGATAACGCGGACGCCTACGTCGCGAGAATCAAAGGCAGCAAAGAACGATATTTTGAGGAAAAATTCGCCGCGCGACGAAAGATTGTTGAATCTCGTGGCACGCGACCGGCAATGTTACGATGCGCAGCTGAGTACTCGTTTATCGAGTGAAACGTATACACGTATCGTTCATCTATGAACAATTACTGAAGTATAAGTATATATATATGTGTATATATATATAGATATATATACTAAACTACAACAATTAGTCAACTGTTCCAATGGACTCGACGTAAAAGTACTAATGTCTAAAGTCAACGTAATTACGATGGCAATAAAGAGAGAACTCTCTGTTGAAGGTCACTAAGAGATAAAAGATAATAACTATCCCTATCTAGGTAAGCTAATTCAAGTACCTAGAATAAATACACCCCAGTGTGTAATATGCGTGTATGCGCGTACGTGTCTCTGCGTGTGTATCGTGAGGCGTGATGAACGGAGAGATCGAATACAACTCGATGCTACGTAAGTCTTACGTTAGCATACTCAACGGATCTAGCGAAGAAGTCTACTGTCATAACCTGGAATGATCTAACTTGAGACTAATTAGCGTTTTCTTTTCTGTTTCTTTTTTTTTTTTCTGGACAACGCTTCGCCGTTTCGATGCTTCGTCGCACGAAGGTCGCCGCAATCTTTCTTTATCATCGATTTTCCCGTCGTCACGCGATTTGGCGACTTGCTCTTTTTCTTTTGGTTTTCTCGATTAGATCGACAGCTAACTGATCGTGAACTATCTGCTATTGAGGGAATTTGCGAACATGACAGTCCCTATTAATTATCGCAAATTTCGTCGGACGTTTCAACGTCTTGAAGTCTAAAACAAAGAAGAGCAAACTCTAGTCGAGTTAATCGGGATGAGGTGCAGTTCATAAGAACTGAAACGGCGCTCAGGCTACTTCCGGTTAGTACCCGCGTCATTTTCGCGATGACTCTTCCTCTCTTTTTCTCGATATAACAACGATTTTTCCTTTCTCACCTCTTTTTTTGTTCTTTCCGTACATATTCTATCGTGTACTCGCGGTTGTCTATTCTTTTTCTTTTTTTCTTTTTGCATACGCCTCGCTCTCGCGTTTTCTTTCTCTTTTTTCCCCTCCCTTTCTTTCTCTCCCTCTCTCTCTCTCTCTCTCTCTCTCTCTCTCTTTTAAGAAAAATAAGTTTTAACTACTCACGCTAAAGTTATAACTACAAAGTCGAGCCAATTCCATGCATCTCTAAGATAGGTAAAACGCTGCAGAATGAAACCCCTCGCCATCACCTTAACGGCGGACTCAAATGTGTAGATGCCCGTAAATATCACTCTGAAAACAACAAACACACCAGCTCAGCTTCTTAAGTGCTAATCCAGTCGCGATTTTCTACCGTCTAGCGCGCATCAAGTCGCGACCGAAGAAGACACGTTCTCGCGTAGAAATGCGATCACTAATTCATAATTATTACGTTTAATTATTATATTATATGACAGACACGTATTTGCTGATCAGTATCTGTGATCTGTAAAATCTTGACGAATGAAAATTGAGACTAGCGTCTTTCGCTTCAAAATTGCAACAACAGTTTACCCATGAATTTGGAAGCGAGGAAATCTCGCGTTGAACAGCGTGATCACTTTCGCCAGCGAGATAAACCGCGTCTAAACTCGGCGTGATAATCTCCGCTCAACTACCTCCGCGTCATCTAATTGATATTGCGTATTTGTGTTAAACTACGAATACCTTCGAATGAAGCACACGGTGCACGCAAATGAACGGATTATCATCGCTTTGACGAGGGATGGTGAGAATTAGTGAAAATCCTCCATCGCGGTCGCGTTATTTCGTGTTTGCATGTGCGCGTGTTACAGACGCACACGCGCAAACACAAAACAAAAAATAGGAAAATTGGACACACCATCGTAGAGATTTCATATTAATAGGACCATTAAATGCACGATTAATTATTGATTAATTATAACATAATTGCGTTATTAATGGACGGCAATATCACGCCTTTTAAAAGTTTACGCAACGCTTATTTATTTCTCTCATTTCAAAGCACACGCGCGTTCAGTTCGAGCTAGTGTAAATTAATGTAATACGCGTGTACAGTCGATCGTCATCTATTTCACTGGCCTCTATGGGATTCTTCTTCTCCATTGCTCGCGCAAAATTCGGGAAAGTCATGGTGGTCATAAATTTGTAATAATGTAATGTAAAAATACCAATACCTGGACACATACCCAATCCTGGATATTCTTGTTTTGGTATTTAACCATCAATATTTAAACTTTCAACATAGAATATATATTCAATATATGTGTACATATTCTTTATAAACAGAAAAAACTATCATTCTACTGTTAAGAAAAGCGATTTCTCAGTTTACTTTGCTACTTTCAAGTAATGATTACTTCCAACACAGAACTTGATTTTTCTTGACAATAGTCTTGAAATATATTTATCACAAATTTTATAAAAGCTCATTATCTTATATATTCAAAAGAAAAATTTATTCTCTTATTTTTTAAACAAGAGTGTCATAAAACTTTATCGGAGAAAAAGTTTATTCGACTCTACACTGAGGTAAAAATTACCTTAAAATAAAAAAATATTTCTTTGATGGGTGCCATTAACAATATTTGGTTTAAATAAAGAGAATTTAGATTTAAATAAATATTTCTTTGATGGGTGCCATTAACAATATTTGGTTTAAATAAAGAGAATTTAGATTTAAATAAATATGTTAATGACACCCATCAAAAAAATATTTGTTGATTTTAAGATAATTTTTCCCTCAGTGTATGTGAATAATAAGCAAACGAAATTTTTGTTTTTATTTAATATTCTTGATTGCGAAATGCCAAACTTATTAAGAATCAGAATCAAAAGAATGTAATCTCTCGAATAAATTTGATGCTTATGACGAACGTATGACAGATTTGCAGATATGTAAAAAAAATATATGAAATATTTTAAACACATTTACTTGAATGCAGTATATCTTTTTCTATGTGTGCGTTAGAAATCCAAATATATCTATTTAAAGACCAAAACAATGACAATGTCCAGGATTAGAAGTACGTGTCGAGGCATTGGTACTTCTGCCTTACTATGCGTCGAATCGTTCGCGCGATTTGCCAAGTCGCCTAATTCTACCTCTAGAGAGACTAATACAAAACTTACCAACGGAATACAATTTATCACAGTCTCTACTCATATATTAGAGCTATAACACGTAGAACATTACTTGAAATATCTATTCTTCACAACATATGATCGCCGTAAGCCTTCGATGAGTCTTCTTTTCTTTTTTCCTTTTCTTTTTTTTTCTTGGACCGATTAACGCGAGGGATAAACGTCGAGTCGAGTCTTTAAAGACTCCTTCGAGACTCGGGAGTATGTGTAAATGACAATACAAATAACCGCATCTCCAGCTTAGGCTCGTCGGCACGCTAAACTACGCAGATTTAAAGTCACTTAAGGGCAAGCTTAAGTGTGTATCGTCCCAGTCGCCGTAAGATACTCTCGTGTATCTCAGGAAAATACGACATTTTCAACCGCGTTCGCCTCCTCTTCGTGTCAATCGCGTGCGCAAAGTGCGATGATATGAATTTGTTTACCGAGTTACTTCTTCTTCTCCTCCTTTTTCGAGTATCAAACACTCCAAACCATGTTCGATTCTCGAATATAAATAGAAATGTGACAATCCTAGTCGAAATTTTACTCCTACATTAACCCTGCGAACTTCAAGTTCGCTCAAACTTGAAGCACCAATGAGAGCTACCACATTACGTAGGCTATTATTATTTTCGCAATGCTGTAAGATATTATTTATTGTCATTTTCGAGGCTTGAAGAAACGTCTGTTTCAAAATTATTTGATATTCGGTCATCTAAATATTTTTATTCGTATATTTCTTTTGATTCTTATTTCTACTCTGTAAATTTTTGAAGTGAAATTTACTCGAAGAATTGATCGATATACTGCAGTATTCTTATCCAAATTCATTATCCTTTTATTTCATATGCGCTAGTTATATTTTGAGAACTGAAATGTGATATTAAAATACTTGCTATGTTAACGAAATTGACTTGAAATGTTCCTTAGCAAAATAAACTTTATTAGCAGTCTATTTCTGCTATTACTAAGCTAAGATTACTAAGAACATAATAAAATTGGAAAGAATTTATATTAAAAAAAAGAAAAATATCATATTTTCTTTATGTAGAATGAATTCTTCACTTTGAATCGTTGAATGAATATTTTCACTCGAAATTGAAGAGTGAATCTAATGCATTTTACCGCCAAAGAAACATTCACCGCGATCGATTGAAATAACCACTCCATATAGAGTCAGAATCCATTCTAATCTCGAGAAACAATTGTAGTTTCGAGTGGCAATATTTTCACTACCGCCTCGACTGGAAATATACTGCTATCTTTTACTTTAAGAAATTTAGAGAGTAAATATATGACTAATTATGTGACTTATTTAACTGCAAGTAGAGTATATGCGACAAGTAGATGTTAAATAGTTAATGTAAGTAAATAATGGGATTGATGAAGAGACAACAAACTTTCCTCTTTCATGATGTTGTGATCTCTCGACTACCGAAACTATGTGCGTATTGTTACTAAACACACAATGACAGTTGAAGATTAATAGAGGAATGACTCAGCCCTTTTTGTCGTTTGTTGGGAATTCAAGTACGTCGCATACTTGTCCGTGACCGAATCATTGTCTCCCGCCGGCGAGTGACACACACACACACACACACACATCCACGACGTGTGTAAGTGTATTGACGCGTTGTTTACAACTCGGGTGATTGAAATATATTTCGTCGGCTTTTAAAATGTGTATTTAATCGAAGTCTCGCGCGTCAGCATTGCGTTCATTCACACGTGCTTCTCCGATCGACTCGTATCTACGCGAGTATTTGTGTTAATGTCAATGCCAGTACCACGAAGAAGTCTGACGTCAGCGTATAGGATGATGAAACACGGGCAGTGGTAGATCGTGTGTTTACAACTGTATCCAATTACTTAAGCGGGATGTTTCTAGCTTTAACGGACGCTTGACGAAAAAGAGCGAAGACACTCTCAAGTCGATATTTAGACCGATATTTATAGCCCGTCATCGTTATCCAACGAATAATTATGATGCTAATTATGATGTAAGTAATTTAAAACTGCAAACTCCGGCCTTAGAATCTAGTCTCAATTATTGATTTGTGCGTCTAATAATGTTGGTTATGCCGTAGGACATTTCACTTCGCAAATCTACCGTCTTCTTTTTTCAATTTTTTCACCTTATTATTGTATTATATATAAAATTTAATTTCTGTTGGTATACGGCATTATCTGTTGATGTCGTTGATGTTGATATCGTCGGTACATACGCAATTGATGTGCCCTTCTACAACTTCTTTCGAATATCCAAATCCTCCAAAAATTTCCAACGTCTCTCAATGATAAATATTGAAAAAATTGTAAAAAGAAATTTGTTGTTTCATATTCTATCGATCCCATTATTTATCCATCTTGTTTACTCATTATCCTCTTGTAGTACGTGCCATATCTGCTAAATTAAATTCTTATTTAACTTAGCAGATATGGCACGTACTACAAGAGAATAATGAGTAAACAATATAGATATATCTTATACATATCTTTATATATAATTAACTCATTGCTCGTTGAAAATAAGAGTAGACTAAACTATTATATTAAGAGTAGACTAAAATAGAATAATAAAATAACTGAATAGTTAATAATCCCGAAATAAATGCTTGTTTCAGGACATGGAGAAAGCGGCAGTAATGGGATTAACCATTTGCAGCACACAGGTAGGATAATATAGCCTATATATAGAGTCATATCTCTAGCGAAATACTCTTCATAAATTCTTCAAGTTCGGCTTCAAAATTTGCGATATTAATGTAGAAGCAAAATCTTGACTCGGGAAAACGCGTGAATATGTCATTGGAGTGACTGTTCAACGTATCCACGACTGGCTTCGCGGCAGATGTAAGCTATTAGCTTACATCTTCTTTAAACAGTCAAGAAGTCGATATAAATATCAGCGGCTCCGTAAAATACCAATTTAAACGTCTCTATGTGCCTTACGTACATTCATTCTATAATGTAAAGCTGTACACGAATGTACATAAAATTACAAAGACGACGAATTCTCTTTCCGATTCTCTCTTTTTCACGTTTTTAATGAGTAGCGTAAATAGAAGACACTCCGCTCGCGCTCATAAGTGTTTTCAATGAAATCGCCGCTCGTCCCTCCGTCCTCTCGACAGAGTCGCAAGTGAGAGAACGAGTAATCGCCGATAGCACAGTGTAGGTAGGAGTACTCACTCGGTGGACTCGATGGTGGGCGTGGTGGGCATGATCATGAGTATACAGTTAACCAATATCGTGGTGATGATGAAGAGAGAAAAGAGCGGGTGGACCAATATGTAAATGGCCACACGTCGTATAGGGTTGAACGGGTCGAGGATCCACATCGCGTTCGTCGCTGAGAACCTGAATATGTCCTTTCCCTTGCTAATGACAACGAAGGTCTGCGAACAGATATAACGTGCACGGTCAAATGCTTATTGCATCGGGAAGAGATGAATGTCGGTTTTACGCGAAAGGCAGGTCTTTCCCGTTGCTTCTCTCGGCCGGTCTCCACCCTTGCTTCGTTGAGTCGCGCGGTTGAATCGCGTTTTGCAGATTCGACTAAAGTTTCAAAGAGCTTGCGGGAGAACATTCTCCTCGTGGATTACGTTCCACGCATTGTACTTCGCTGATCATTACGCGGCGAAACGGCGCGTTGTTATTACGCAGACGTACATACAGACTGTATTCGCGCCATTACAGCTGCAAGGGGGTTACACAGAAGCAATTATATGTCACTCGACGCGAAAGTTTGAAAATAGCCGCACAGTCAGATACGCAGAGGCAGCGGGTGAGCGCCGGCGTCTCGTTACACACAGAAAACTCGTTGTATACTGCACGGGGAAAATATTATAGTCTCCTTTCATACAAGTTCTTTCTTCAATTTTACTGTGTTTTTACACTGAGGAAAAAATATCTAAAAATTAATAAATATTTCTTAAGTGAGTACCATTAACGTATTTACTTAAATAAAAATTCTAAACCGAGTATTGTTTACTCGATTTAAATAGTTTAGGAACAGACGTCGGTGTGTTACTAAGTTGCTGAGAAACAATAAATTTCGCTAAAAATATAGCAATTTTTTCACAACTAATTTAATTTCAGCAAATTTAATTTCAGCTAATTTAATTTCGATTTCTGTACAATTAGCGCATATGATGAAAAGAACAGTTACGACAGAATTTGTGCTTGTGCATCGCGAATATATTCTTCGGTTACGAAATTCTATAGTAATATTCTCCTTTATAATAATTTCATAATAATTCTTATTATAAAATTCTGTCTGTGCATTCAAGAAAACGTCACTCGTTTCGAGTATTTCATAAGTTTGCATACTCGCAAATTTAGTCTCCATCGTAAGCATCAGATTTATTAGGGATACACTCTGAATCCTAGTGAGTTTAGCATTCCAATCAAGAATATTAAATTAGAAGAAAAATTCGGTTTACATATCGCATAGAATCGAGTCGATCAACTTTTCAATAAAGTTTCAATAATATTCTTATAAAGAGAGTCGATTTCTTTTTCGAGTGAGATAAAATAATAACGAGCTTTTCTAAAATTTATGATGAATAAATTTGCAGACTATTTTTAATGAATTATTTTTAATATATATTTAATATTATTTAATGAATTTGTGATGATAAATTTGCAGATTATTGTCAAGAAAATATTTTTCGTCAGGCATCACCTAAAAGAAGGGAAGCGAACTGAGTAATCGCATTTCTCGGCAGTAGAATGAGATCTTTCTGTGTGTAGAGAGGCCAATTTGCCGGGCAATATCCTGCGTCTCGCGGAAAACTCGAACTAATTAGCTCGAAGAGCTGAACTAATTAGTGCGCAACGATGCTGGTACCCTTTGATTGTGGTAGAAGCTATCGATATCCTCGAGAGGTGTGGAGGCCAACTCGGGTGGAAATTCGTTGTGCAGTCGGACCGGGAGCGGCCCTCCCTGCTCGAACATCGGGTCCGGCTGAGGACCTTCGTCCTCGTCCTCGTCGTCATACCGTACCTGCGAACGAGATTCTCATAAGATTAACTTTCAATTCGCGGCGCCGTCCTTTCTTTTTCTTTGCCCCTTTATCTCTCGCCATATTATCGCCGCCATGGCGGTTGTTCGATGACACGCTCGGATCTTCACGGAGACAGAAATACATGTAAGTGCATATACCTTTTCGCGAATATACTCGGAACAAGAAGGACGTGTCGTTTTCAGACGTCTAGTCCGATCGACAATAGCAAAGTCACTTCTGTGACGTTCCCGTCGTCGAAGCGAGCCCGTCCGAGTTGCGTCGTGCAATGCCGGCGAGCAGAAGAAACGACCTCGCTTTCGACTCGCGTTTCTCAATTTTGTGAAACTAATTCTCTCTCGACACGTCCGTTGTGCTTTTCTCTATGGATCGTCTCGCCTGGAAGATCAAATTGGGCCATCGTACATCTCATACACTTCATTCTCGGGCACGAAGAGCGAGAATAATCGAGTGATCGATCGTGTGATGAATATTTCCAAAACGCTTTCCCCCCTTCCCGCCTCTTCTCATTACAGAGAGTTTCGCGCGAGATTGGCAAGGGACACGTGCGGCATTCAGATGTACATTCACAAAGTCCCAAGATGTACGCTCACGAAACAGCCGTGAACGTAAACTTGATCGCGCGGAAGGTCGAAAATACGTAACACGCGGTGGTTAGTCCCGCGCAAGGTAAGGACGCGAGCGTGAAATATTCAGTCCCGTCGCATGAAATATTGGAGGGGAAATCGCTTCTTCGGAAATATTCATTCGCGTGCTTTTCCAGCCGCCACCAGTTATTCATAACCCGCTTCTAGATGAGCTCTACCTGCGACTGCATCGTGCCTGTATCGCGCTGGTGCATCGCGAAACGAAGTCCCGAGAGCTTGGCCGGCACTTCGGCCGTGAGATCGAGTGAGAACGGTGCAATTAAACACACATTGCGCGTGAGACCGCCAAGTGTTGGACAACTCCGTGCCGCAACTTCGGGTAAGATAAGTCTCGCGGCAAAAGAATTTCTTCCTTGAGTGACTTCACGTAAAACCGCGCGAGATATAAATCGCTGATAAAACTCAGCTTATCGTTATCGTCTCGATCACGCATAAATAAATAACATAAATACATTTCCGAGAAGTGAAAGAGAAACCGAGAGAGAACGCAAACAAACAAACGACCAACACTGAAAAGAGCAAACAAATGCCGCGGTCGACGTTCGCGGAATTCGATTTACGTTATCATCGCGCGTTAGGGAAACAAATCGCGCATATAAATTGCTTATACGAGTAAGCAAGAAACGTAAACATCGTGTTGATAACGCGAAAAGAAAACTGAGATTACTCGATCGACGACGCAATCGTAATCGTAACGATAACGAGCGGGGCTCGGAAATTCGTGCGGTACCGCGCGCAGGATCGATGTGCTCGCGCGTGTACATACGGTGGCTAGAGTTCCTCCAGTCTAGTCAGAGCTGGGTCAAAGCATGACGATTCCTGATCCGCATCCCGTCCACCATTTTTAGGGATAACGTGAATGGGAGTGAGAGAGAAAACTCTAGTTGGAGTGAAAGAGAAGCGGAGACTGAAGTGACGCTGCAGCTTCTCTCTCGCTCACTCACTCGCTTCCTCCCCACAAATGGCGGACGATGGCCTAACTTTGACTGGAGGTACTCCAACGGTGGCGCAACATACGGTCGGTGCTAAAAGCGGGTCGTGAACATACGAACCTGAAGAAGGTCCACGCGATCAGCTCGACTTTGGCCCCTCCTACGGCTCGAAAGCTCTGGCGAGTCGTAATTAGAAAAAAAAAAAAAAAAAGAAAGATGCTATTCCTATTTTTCTTTCTCTCTACGTCCGACTCGACTCTGATATGCTAATAGTTTGCCTAACACTAGACACTAGTACAGCTCTATCCTATGTCTCTGGCAGCGAGAGATCCGCCGTGGCGGAACACAGCGGCGATCCTAGTGATCCTCTCGGCTAAGGGTTAAAACCGCTCGTCCGTCGTCGCGCGCAATTTCACGTAAGGGCTCACGGGCGCATGGCGAACTCGAGAGTCTCTCAACACGAAAGGGCGTCCGTTATGTTTCTCCGTCGAGATCTCTCTGTTTACCCAAGAATATATAATCTTATCCTTAACGGAGTCCTTTTGTATATATGGTCTCAAGAGAATTCTCCGAAAACCAAATTGGAAAATATTCTAAATACAATATTCTTAAAATAAGAACTCTTTTATCTCTTTTATTTCTTTTGTCTCTTTTATCTTTTATCATAAGTCTTGCTTGTCGCGTCTTTTGTGTTGCGCGTATATATAATACGTATAATAGGATATACTGAAAGAAAAAAGATATCTGAAAAATAAAAAAAAACATCTGCTTTTATGAAAAGCAACAGTTTCAGGAAAATATACAGAGTGCCTGACACTAAGCGTCCCACATCTGGTGTATATGTGAATTAGATTGAACTAAACATATCTGGTGTACATGTAAATTAGATCGAACTGAACACAAAATTGCTTTACTATTTTGCAAACACAATTACGTACGATTTTTTGTATTAATTAAAGAATGCTAGCGGATAATCGCGCGTGTTAATACACTAATGTTTTTTAATTAATAACTCAAAATCTTACACGGTTCTTTCCAAAATGGTAGAGAAATTTTATTTTCAGTTCAGACCTAATTTACATGTGCACAAAGTACGGAAAATATTTAGTATCAGACACCTTTATATTTTCTTCTTTGAAAGAAACTTTTTCTCAATATAAAGATATGTACATTAATATAAGAACAAATACGTCATTGGTACTCATCGAAATGTTTCTTTTTTCTTAATATTTTCTCTTTCAGTGCATTTTGCTTCAAGTAACACAGTCTTCTTGATTCAGGAGAAAAGAAGTTAGAATAAAATTCAGTAAATTCAATAGTTTACTTGACTGAAGTACTCTTTCGGTGAAAATTTCACTTAGAATATTACAGGAAATAGAGCAAATGCAATTGGAGTTTTACTTTCTTGAATGTTAGAATATTTTCCTCTTAGTTTTAAGAGATCATGTACAAGAGAGTTTCCAGTCAAGGATGAGATTGTATTTCTATTTGAATGTACTAGACGAGTCCACACTCGAGACTCTCGCAGCCTCGCACGCAGGCCTGTGCACCTACGCAAACTTTTTTGTGGCGGATTTGCTCGCAAACGCTCAGCTGAGCGTTATGTACTGAACGAGTTATCGATACGTTGGTGTCGGTAAAAACGTGAAGACCGCGCGGCGTCCCGTAAGTAAGTAAGTGATACAAGAAGATTGAGAGATCCACTTAATCGATACTTCCGACACGTGGTGAAGTATCTTAATTGGAGCTCCTCTGTCGGGAAAAACTACTACGTATCGAAACTTATGCAAGTGTCCTAATAAAAAGGTATCTATGCTAAAAACGTGTACGATCTAGATGACTAGGTCTAAGTCTGCGCAAGCCAAGTGTCTCTCGCCGAGATGGTTTTTGCGCGCGAAACAGACTCTTGCGTAGCGTGCTCGTGCGTGCCGAACGTTTTCTTTCCGCCTCGTTGATCGAGTCCCCGCGGGAGGGAAAACCTAAGGGAAGAAACACTCGAGGTACACCGCAGAGTCGCGCGAAAAAGCGCGCTATGGCGATTTCGCGAAAATGCGCGACCCGTCCGCGAGACGAACGTTTCGCCAAACTTTCGACCGCCGTTCTTGACTCTCCGTCGAAAACGTCGGCTATTTGGCTGACTCGAGTGTTTTATCGATTCGACCACGAGGCGGAAGCGTACAAGCATAGTGCGCGAGGAACGCGGAGAATCGCGCGTTGTCGCGAATTCAACGTGACTGCGGGTGAAGGGGATTCCTCTCGCGGCGTAACGCGCCGGAATTAAATTGTCGCAAATCCGAGGAATTCGCAATCCATTTTTGCGATCGCTTCGGCAGTGCGGAGCCTCCCGTCGTCGACGAGGGCGAGTGCAACTTCCTGTCATTGTGACTGAACGAACCGTAATAAATCAATACGATATCGCGCGGAAGACACCGTCGCGATTGCGTGCCTTGCTCGCGTACTTTGCTCGGCCGAAGCAGCTCTGCGACGGTGCGCGCTTGGTTTGCACAAAGATACCAAAAAGAAAGAAAAGGAAAGTAAGGCAAAACAGAGAAAGGCGTCGCAAGCGTTACATGTACAGCATACGATCTATATGAAGCATTTAGCAGGCGACTGCGACCTCCGCCCGCGAAATATTCGTGTCGTCGCGGCCACTGCGCGTAACACCAGCTTCTCTCGTAAGCATTTCTTTACAAGCGGATTTTTCAAGAGCGCACTGGAGCATTCCGCGCTGGAGGTCGCAGGACGTTTATTCCGCTTCGTTTCGCGACATGCGTTTCATTGAAAAAGGCAGGAGGTAAAGGTACCGATGCGCCTGGTCGTGAACATTCTTCTTGCTTTGGATTGTATTTCAAGATTCCACGTCCTCTGTGAGGCAAGTTTCACTGTAAATCCATAGTAACATAAACTATGGATTTCCAGTGAAACTTTCCTCACCAAGGACGGAATGCAAGCCCCGAGTCTTTAAATACGAATATTTCAACTTTCAACATCTATGTATATAATAATGGAATACTTGTCTGCATGTTGTTTATCAACTCCTAAACTGAATTTCGCGTAGTCATTCTTTAGAACCTCGTAAAATGCAGTCTACTATAACCTGGGCACCGCTCTTTCTAATTTCACCTCCTTGATATTTTATGATAATTTAAGTTTAGATGTTCTAAATATAAGAAACTCGCGCAACGCCGAGTGGTTTAAGCTAGTGAAATATTTATATATACTGAATATATGTGTATATTCTATGAAAAATTCTTAAAAATTTCGATATTCTATAGATTTAAAGGCCGAAACAATAAAAATGTCCAGGATTAGGTGCGTGTCAGGGGATTGGTACTTTTGCCTGAAGAAAAACGCGAGAATTCAACGCGTTTCATGCGCTCCGCGAGTGCGGCCTTGAAACTGGCTAGTGTTAGCGTTCGCGTCTCGTGAGCGAGTTTGGGATTAATCGTAACGCATCCGACATGATGTGATTCTAGCTCGCTTTTCGCAAGACCACGTTAGGCCTCCAACGTACAGGCGTTTAGCAGATATCGTTCGTGACTGTTGGACTCCCTTTCGGCGGGACTGAGAGCTCCGAATGTCTCTACGATTGTGCACGACCTTGCGGTTACGATTGATCCCAAAGCGCAGCTTCGCGACGCCGAGATCAAGCGCCGACGAATATCTCGCGGGTAAGCGTTAGTTAAAAGAAGCGCAAGCGCAGCTCGCTTTTACCGTAAGACGTCAAGACACTTGCCAAGGAGCGTGTATGTGTGTATGTTGCGAAACAACCAAAGGGCAATATACATATATACATGTATTTATATAGAGAAAGCACGCTGCTTTTTGTATCGTGTGCGTGCCAACTATCGTGAGACCTGATCACCTTTTTTAGCCGTGTTGTAACATCGGAGGAGAGAGAGAAGTACGCGATTAACCGCGATCGCGGCAAGAAAGATGTCCCCGACGTCGACATCCGACGAGGAGATGTCCGCGCGACATTGAGATATCAGCGGAGACGCGAGCGGCACGCGCGCTCGCCGAGAATAGTTCCCGAATTAATTAATCAAAACGTTTCGAATTCAATGCCTCGCGGATTAAACTTGCACATCTTCGGTGGCTGGTCGATATATCGACTCGGAATGATGACGCTCGGAATCGATACACACCGTGGCACGCAGGAAGAGAGAGCCAGGGGTTGAAACCTTTGCGGCTGCGACCGTTAGAACAAAAAGAAAAATAAGAGGAACACGCGAGTTCTCCGTGAAGAAATCGCGACGCCGCGACATTTGAGGTAAAGAAAGAAGGAAATATCACAACTATGAGAGCGGTGTCGGAAAAATCGATATCCGCTCGTCGAATTCGCCCGCGCGAACGATTCACCGGCGAGAACAGCGATGAGCAATCCGACGCGTTCCGCCTTATTTCGTATTCCCAGAGGAACAAAAGGCTGATAAAATCCTCCGCTGATTTTGCAGAGGCAGTGAGATATTTGCATGATGCGTCGCAAACGGGATAAATTTTAATCGGCAACAGAGACAGCACGGAAGACTCGACAAGTTGCAAAGTTCTCTCTCGCGGAAACGTAAAAATCCAAAACGCTCCTCCGAAGAAATCGCGTTCGCGATTAAAAAAAGGAAACGAAAAAATAGCAATTATTCGATTCATTTTTTCGATCCCTGCGCCAAATATAAGCAAGTAATCGTATCGTACGTGTGTGTGTGGGTGTGTGTCTGTATGGTGTCGGGCAGTGATTTACACGCGTGTCTAATTGACTGATTGGCCAAATGCTGCCAAGTGAGAAAGAAAATCGTGAGATCGTGTGCGTGTGTGTGTATGTGTGTTTACAGTGTGCGTGTGGTGTATACATGTGCATGTTTATGTACGCATGTATGTATACACGCCGGTGTATACGTGACTCGCACGTGTACGTGTGCATGTGTACGTGTGTGCACATGTGTGTGTGTAGTATTATATATATATATATGTTAGTAAGGTATAGAAGTCGGATGAGATAGAGAGCGGTATTACTTAGCGTGACGTAACGTCTTACTTCTTTTTTCTTTTTCTTCCGTCCAAAACCTCCCTGAAATTGGAGAAATGGAGAAACAGTCGTTACACACAGAGATACAGAGATCACGAGGGGTTTGTGGGCAAGGGGGCGGGGGTCGGGATATCGGCGAGTGTGAACAAACAGATTAAAGAAGTATGCTAATATGCAGTAAAAGATGGGTGTGTGAGTGCGCGCGCGACGCGATAACGTGGATCGATTCGCAGCTTTGGAAGAAGTACGAGCTGAATCGGGTAGTTTTAAGGGGGAAAGAGAGAGAGAAGAGAAGAGAGAGAGAGAGAGCGAGAAAGACAGAAGAAATCAAGAGGGTCAATGGCGAGAAAGGGAGGAGGAGGAGAGAGCACACACATGTTACACCTATAGACATACGACTGGGATACAGAGGATCAGGCAAGCCGGAAAGAGAGTATCCAAGCACATCAAACTTGATCAAGACTGGATTAACTGGCGGGAAAACACGCGGATCCACGTCAGGTAACCAGCAACGCTTACAATGAAAAAAGGATTCAATTCAAACGTATAGAGCACTTGGATTGTTTCGAAACAATCGCATTTTTCAGACTCATGATTGAGACTGCTGTCGACTGCAGAGATATCTGCACGCGTTTCCAGTAATCGAACGTTTGGACACATTTTGAAGCAGTTTCATGCCAGACTGATCAGTATCGCAAAATTTTGTTACAACTAATGCAAAAATACCGTGCGAGATCCGCGAAATTGTCGAGAGAAATTGACAAAGAAACTGTCGAATTCGGTGCGTTCTTAGATTTTTTCGGAGCTGCACGTTGGCGATCGATGATAATCCAGTCTTGATCTTGGCTCCCGCCCTCTTTCTCTCTCTCGCTCGGTTGCTCTCTCTCTCTCTCTCTCTCTCTCTCTCTCTCTCTCTCTCGCTCTCTCCTTGACCTTTCGTCGCTGGAGTATAATACAAGGAGGCAATAAAAGGAGAGGATTTGCTCTCCTCTCGCAAAAGTAATTTTCAAACAGCGCGATCAATGTCAGAACGACATAGCCCGGGACGGGCAGCGGCGAAAGAGAGAGAGAGAGAGAGAGAGCACTGATAAATAAATCCGCTCCTTTTATCGGCGCATTGCTGTAGTCATAGCCGGCGGCAAATTAGGAACGCTAATTATAAGGATGTAAGGGGCTCTCTTTCGAATTTACAATGACACATTCCTCCGCGATATGAATTCGCCGTTCATCATTAAGCGCGAATGCCGTGTGGCGGGGAGGGGAGGTGAGAGGAATGGGGGTGCGAATGAAGAGAGCCACGACACACGAGTTGTATCCACGTGTGTGTGTGTATATATATATATAAACAATGTATATATATGTATGTATATATATATAATAGTATAAACAGACACAGCGATAAGTGACACTGCATACATCGAGCTTCGTACGTGGCACATCTTTCGTATAATACACATAGTACATATTTACTCGACGATAGATATGTATATATATACATATATGTGTGAATGGGTTGAGAGTAATCTCTCTTGTTAGGGTGGAGACAGTTACATATCCTCACACTACGTTAGCAGTAGATCAAGCGAACAGTCAACACGACGGTCGCGAGTGGATAGGAGGAACAGGTTGAGTCCGTTGCAAAGAGTATTCGGCATATGTAGAGAAACAGGAATAAAGAAACGGGGAATATCACACGAGCGGACGCGATGACGGTCGACGCAGACACGATAGGAAATGAATTCTCCAAAGAGATTCTAGGATGACCTGTGGGACAGTTAAAGAAAAAACAAAATGCTATTTCTTTCTCGTCGGAAGAAGGCTCTGTCAGTGCCTCTGTTTCGTCGCACTGCTCGCCCAGAGGTCGGAAATCCCTGTCCGTGGACACGTACGTCACATGAACACGTACAAAAAGGACAATGATCACGTAGGAGAGTTAATTAGTCGCACACGAGCTTGGCAGAAGGGGATCAGCAGCGTCAGATAAATATCCGTTCGTGTCAGCTTAGTCGAGTTTAGAAATCGACTCTTTCGGAATAACGCGAATGAACAATAGTGAGCTTCAAACATTTCAGGAATCTCGTGAGGTCAAAGAGGTAACTCGAGGTTGCCAAAGACGCGATGGACGTACTTTGCGTGAGGCGTGGACTTTGAAGATTCCCTCAGGCTCTCTGGGAATTTTCTCCGGAAACGATTGTTTTCACGACGCGCGAAAAATGTACGTAAGTAGTGTCTGAACGTGGCGGAGCATGGCGAGATGATTTATTTGACGCTGCTCGAGGGACATCCTACGAATACGAGTATGATAAATTATGCGCTGACGTGGTCACGGCGCGAGAAGAAAAATCGTAATACGCGATCGTGCGTCGAACGAACACGCATGGCCGCGCTCATACCTCGCCTTCCGCTCTCTTCTTCTCGAGCTCCTTCTGCTTGGCATGTTCCTCGGCGATGCGAGCCTCGATCGCTGCCAGGGACTCCCGCGTGAACGGACGGAACAAACTTCTTTCTTCCTCTGATATAGAGTCAGAATCTTCGGACATTGTCTAGGCTGCGCACAGCTGAGCCACCTTCCTGCGAGTGCGAAAGTCGCTATCAGTGGTAAACTGTTCAAAACAGCAGTAAACAACGATCACTATTGAGCGCAGGTAAGTGGTGGTAACTGAACAAATAAAAGAGCTCACATACAGTGTATGTACAGACCGGCATAATGGCCTTAGTGCGTGAAGTCGTTAACTTTAAAGTTATCTTTCTAAAGAATACAATACACTTCTCATGGAAAACTTTAAAATAGTGTCACTTTAAGGCTATTATGCCTTGCGTATACATTGAAAAAAAAAAACATCTCAGAGACGTCTTTTATTAATATTCCCGTATTAACATTACCTTACTTGAAATTTGTCTCCCACGAGATACTCAGATCTGAATTTCAAGTTAAACCAGAATTTCCCGCTTGAATAATACAATATTCGTGACATATATATAATTGCAATTCAGCTGAACAATCTAATTCTAAAGTCAGGTCTGAGAGAGTATCTCACTTGAGAAAAGTTTCAAGTGAGACTATCAGACTTGAATTTAGAATGAGATGTGAGTTTTCCAGTTGAGTCACTACTACAACTCGCGTATAAGCACACAATTTAACTGATAAACTTTGATCTGATTCTAAATTCAAATCGGAGTGTGACACAAGTTTCAAGTAACGACCATTAATACCCTCAGACGCCTCAGACGTTTTACCCCTCTCAAAGACGTTTTTAAGACCTTCACATCATAGTCATTATTACCCGAGGCACTCAGATTTGAATTTTGCGAATTGAATATGAATTTTTCGGATGAATCGCGCGATTTCAACTATAACATCGCATGTATTTTACATTATATGATTCTCACTCTCAAATGGGAAACCTCAGAGATCTACCTCTAAATCCAGATCCGAGTATATCACGTGAAATAAATTTCGAGTGACCATCAATATGGACCTATGACAGGGAGAATGACAACAAAAGGGGATATCGATAAACGGCCCAAATTGACGTTTCTGCGGGTCGCGTTCGAAAACGAAACCGTGTTACGCGCTCATAAATCGGCTCCCAAACGAAACTTTCGGATTCTTCGGGGTGCAAGGTTCGATTGAAGCGCGCAATTAACGGGAATGCTTTTAGAATCTCGGTGCCTAAGAGGATGACATACAAACATTTGGTGTCACTCGATGCTCTCTCTCTCTCTCTCTCTCCCTCTCTCTCTCTCTCTTTCTCTTAAGCCACTCACTTTTGATCGGTGCTAACAGTTCCCGAGGTGTGGTGTGCGTGTGACCCACGATGCGGGGGGGTAGTAGAGTGGCTGCTGCGGCTGACAGGGACGAGTCCGGTGCTGAGAGCGGCGCGACTTGCCGGCTACCGGCCGGTTCCTGGGCGTCGATTCTGGGCGCGTCGTGCCGACGATCCGATCACACGACGCCGTAACGTACGGTCGGACGGAAAAGAGCGCTCCGTGCAGCACCTCGAGTGCCGATCTGCCGCTGTTGCTCTGACTTTCTCTCGTTTTCTTATCGATCGCCGTCACGCAGATATTACTACTGCTGCTGCTGCTGCTGCTGTCGCCGCCGCTGATGCCGTTACTGCCGCTGGTACTAACGCTACTTCTAACTTTGTTCCTGTTGCGAATGCTCCTTTTATTGTTGATACTGCTGCTGCTGCTGCTGCTGCTACCTGAATCTCGTTCCAACGAAATGGCGACGAGAAATGACGAACGCGCTGCGGCAGTGCGTGCTATGTCGGGGACCGTCCAACGCGAACCAAGATTTTTCATGTCCGACCTAAGAGGTCACAGAGAGAGCATTGCGCGATAAGGCCGACGATAATAGCGCATAATCCCGACGTGATATGGCAATAACAACAAAATAATCGTGAAAGTGACGTCGCATGACGTTTTCGGTTTTCTTTTTGAGCATTTTTACTTTCTCCTTTTCTTCGCGTGTACAAATTTCGAGCTGGGTGTCGGGCGAGGGCGGTCTTAAGTGCACGAGGGACGCAACTTCCAATTATAGCGATGCGAACAACGGTTCCCAGAATATCGTGACATTCCATAAAAGTCATTAGACTCCCCACATTATGCTCGGCCACATCGTCAGTGCAAACGACGGAGCAAACCACTCTTGCAAATGAACCGTCCTAAACAAAGAGTCCATCAACGCGCATACTCACGTGTGAATGAAGCGACGGGTGCGATCAATCCGTTATCCGAAATAACATAGTCTGGTCTTCGAGTCTCGGTCGATTCTGATCTGCAACAAGAAAACAAAGGGAAACCACGTGAATGGCGAGCCGAACATCACGCGCGAAATCTCATATTGACGTAACACGCATTCCGCATACGACGCGTGACCCCGACTGATTTATTGCGAAATATTCTCGCGTTCTTGCGATTTGAACGAGGCTACTGCGCGATATCAGTGTTTAATATTTATGTCCCGGCAAATAAAACTGCTTTCTTCGCGGAACGAAATCTCGTATCTCCTCTAAACATACTTCTGTCTCGCTCGCGGAACATCGTGCGTCGCAGCTTTCTCGAGAAGCGGATTTCCAGAAAAAGGAAAAAAAGAGAGAAAAAGAAAGAGAGAGAAACGGACGCGGGAAGAAAGAGAGAGAGAGAGGAAGAAGGAGACTTCGAGCGACTTTTGACGAAGCGTGACCGTTTCCGCGATCGATGCGAGCCGCTGCAAAAACGCTACACTGAGAATAAACGAGCGTGGCTGCGCGCGTCGTCCGCATCGGCGGTGAACCTCGGCGCTTCGTTTCCGCGCGTTCGGGAAAATTTCACGCAGATCGGCACACGGCACAGGTGGACTCGCGGAAAGGTGTCGGTGGTCTTTGACCGAGTTTCGCGCGGTCGATCATATTCCGCCGAAACTCGGTCACACGCGCTTATGCATCGGACGGCAACGGCGGCGGCGCGGCGCCGAGCGCACCAGGCGGTGATACGTAGGGTAGGAAAAGTAAGAGTGAAGGGCTGTGCTCGCGAGCCAGTGGAACGAGCACATGCAGGGTCGGCCGCGATGTCGACCACTTCGGCTATCCCGCTTCCGCCACGAAAGAGAGAACATTCTATTCTACTTACGTTCATGTCTGCGGACATTTATAGTATGAGTCGGCTATTTTTCATTTCTATCGACTCTCTCTCTCTCTCTCTCTCTCTCTCTCTCTCTCTCTCTCTCTCTCGAGCGCGCGCGTCGAGGCTTTGCTGAAACGAGAGGAATCGGCAGAATCTCGTGAGTTGATTTAACGCGGCGACAGACTTCGCTCGCTCTTCTCTCTCTCTCTCTCTCTCTCTCTCTCTCTCTCTCTCTCTCTCTCTCTCTCTCTTTTCGGAAGTGCAAGGTGTACTGTTTCCTATCTTTATCTCCTTTAATCGTATCAGGAAAATCTACATTTGGAATCTCAGTTCATTCGTTTCGAGAGGTGCGACGAAACGTGGAATTTCGTAGTTCGGGAAGAGGCGTGATTTTAACTTAATTGTTAATCCAATTATGCCCGCGGCGCACTAATTGCGAGAGTGGGCATGATTCAGAGGAGGGTTTTTTTGCGTCTCGCTAAATTAGCTACACATTCGCCCGACTCTGTAGACGATAGCGTGCCTCTATATAGGATGAGAATCGCAGAAGTGGGACAGGCCTTGTTTCCAGTTAAGATGAAAAAAAGAGAGGGAGAGAGGAGGGAAAGAGAGAGAGAGAGGAAAGATTGCGCGGAAAGGAGTCGAATAGTGCGACTTTTATTCTGATATCCTTGAGAATTAATTTCCCTTTCAGACACCTATACGCAGTAGCAAAAGCAATTCTTTTAATGACGGTATACATCACGTTTTATTATTCAGCGGCACTATTGTTTTTTTTTTCTATTTACACAGGTTGCGAGATAGCGGGTGATACGCGAATAATCGATGAATTACGACAAAGCCAGCGGGGGTGGTCGACGCGCGAATCGCGTGTCTCGGATCGTTTAATGCGTATTTTTCGCCACGTGGACTGCCTTAGATTTACCTGTGCAAAATTTTGCGCAATTGTGCTCGAACTACGTTTGTGCATGTGTGTAATTCCGCGCGCCCTTTCTCCCAGGATGTAAAGTTTCGGCAATTAATCGAGGAGGCAGGATGAACGATTGGGACGCGAGCGATCGAGAGGAGATCTCTCGATTAATGTGGCCTCCGTGCGATGTGACTTATGGCCTTTCGCTCGCGTGGCCGGGATAACGCCGTGAGATAACGGCGAAAAGGGGCACGTAATTAATCATTAAGAGACGTTACAGGAGACCGCGTGAAATAATTAGCCGGATATATTGCATTGAATAACGAGCGTGCCTGATCGGGCCACTCGGTTTGCCTCACGCGGATACAGAAATGAAATAAAAAGCGGCACTTTGCCAACGCGCGAAGCAAGAGGAAACGAGGTCAACTATATCTGCGACAGAACGGCCTTCGTCGAGAAATTACACCCCGTTACGGAGGAAACGCGCAACACCCGACATCGACGTTCGAGAAATCTACCGACCACCTTACATCAGGCCAAACGTCGAAGAGGCTGCATCGGGCTCTGCCCCGGGAGGGATATTCGACACATTCGTCAATTCTTTTTTCAAGTAGCACGCCATGGAGGACGAGGGAAAACGAACATTCCTCTTGACGGCTCTTTGTTCCTGCTCGACGGTTGAATAATTAACTTTAAACTTCCAAAGCGTCACCGTTCCCGCTGCCTTCCCGTTAAATAACGCGACGGGGAAGCGTGCTGAGACTACTGAGAGAGAGTCAGTAGACTCTTTCTTTTTCCTCCTCTCTCTCTCTCTCTCTCTCTCTCTCTCTCTCTCTCTCTCTCTCTCTCGATGATGATGATGATGGGAAAGGTGTGACGCACCGATGTTTTGCTGACCGATCGTCGTGCTGCCATCGATCGTGGCGGTTTTCTCGGTACGGCTACACGAAGACACGCCGCTGAGCGCGAGCGTGAATCATAGCCTGGTATTCTGCGTAATCGCATCGCCATCTTCATGGACCCTACACGGTGGCGCCATCGGAAACCACCCCTACCCTGACGAAGAAAAACCCTTCCACTCTGTTGGCAGGGTGGCTCTGGTGGGGCGACGCCGACGCCGACGTCGCGTGACGTCACGAACCAGGCCGGGTACGTTGCGGAAAAACGTTGTCATGACGACGACCGCTGACGCTACAGTCGTCGTCGTCGTCGTCGTCGTCGTCGTTGCTGCCGCCGCAACGAAACCTCGCCGCCGCCAATGCCAGGATGGGATCGGAAAAATGCCGAAGGGAAACGAGAGAGAGAGAGAAAGAGAGAAAGAGAGAGAGAGAAAAGAATAGAGGAGGATGGAAAGAGAAAGAGAGAGGGGGGGAGATAAAAAACGGAAAAACGAATTGCGAAGGGCGTGGGGCGAACTCGCGCGCCGCGTTACGTAACGACGTCGGGTCGGCATGGGAAATAAAGCAGGATCCGGGGGGAATAATCGAACATGAATAGACCGAACGATACTCGCAGGATAGGCAAGTCCATTCGCGTTCTGAAATACGGTATCAATCGACATGCGTCTCGAAAATTTCCCCGGTCAAGGATTGTCGATAGAAAGACAGAGGGAAGATTCTTTCTTCTATCGGCAGTCCTTGACCAGGGAAATTTTCGAGACGCATATCGATTGATACTACGCACATACCATATTTCAGAGAATACTGTATTAAAGAGAGAGTAAAGTAGAATAGAGTAAATTAGATTTATTTGGGATTCGACACTCCCTGGAGCTATTAGAGAGAGAGAGAGAGAGAGAGAGGGTTCGCGCGTTCCCAATTTACCCTCGCGAATCGTCGAAGAACGTCGTTCGGAGGTTCGGAGGTATCATCTCGCTTGTACGCTCAGATTTGTGTGAAACTAATCATGGGAGGAAAGGAGAGGAAAGGAGTTTCCCGCGCGACGTCAGCGGGAATTGGAAAGTGTCACGTAGCGGAATGAGCAGTTGCTTAATTAGCGCGCTTGGATACCCGTTTGTGAGCGACGCCTGTTCTTTCGCGGGAGAGTGCCATGTTTTAAACCTCCCGAATATTCAACGGACTTTCTCTCTCTCTCTCTCTCTCTCTCTCTCTCTCTCTCTTTCTCTTTGTTTCTCTCTCGGGTTGAAGTTACGCGTTTATGTAATTGAATAATTCATTTTAATAAATTAGGTCACAGTTTCCAGCCTCGCGATTTAACACAAAAATCCTATAGAAGGCAGCCCGTCCCGGTGAAATCGGTTATTATTCAATTACACGAAACTTGGCTAACTCCCGTCGCCGCGAACTTTAACTTTGATAGAAATAATTGTCGGACGAATGTTTCGAATGAGAAATGAGCTCTAGTGTGTCAATGTAAATTCTCTCCTAATAAAAAGAAAACGTTCACATGCGGGAGCGGAAACGGGCCAACGGATGGCGGCGCTAAAACGTGCATCGGCAAAAGTAATTTCCTCGTAAAATTTTAAGGACAGGCATAAGTAAATGCCCATGTGACTCTGTGTAAGAAGGAATGATCTAATTGCAGAGGCTTGACGTGTTTCGTTACTATTTTATATATACGTAGTTGAAAGGTTACAGAGCTAACTGATCGCGGGGCAAGGGGCGCAATGAAAGAAAATTGCTTCGTGCCGACGTGCTAGATGTGCTAGACGCGGCGACAGTGATAATATCGAGTGGGTGTGTCCGACATTTATTTAGTCCACCGTCCAAACGACTCGTCTGACTCACTCACACGACTTCGGTGAAATACTTGATTCACGGCAGCCGGAGATAATCGATACACGCAGAGAACCGAAATCAACGCATTCTATGCGTACGATTATACTTCCTGCTTGATGAATAATGTGCGGACGGGATAATTCCATAGCCAATAACAAGTGTGTATGTGTGTGTGTATATGTGCGTGCGTGTATACTAATTTAGCCAGAAAATCCCGGATGAAATCAGCATTCTGTCCAAGTTACCAGGAATCTTGTTAAATTCAACAGAATTCTGATGAATTCAACTGAAATCTCGGTTTCGTTCACGTTTCATCGGAATTTGGTTAGATCAGCTAAGCTTATTTTCCGTATAGAAGTGGATAATAAAAAAGACCAGGCAATCCTAAGTGACTAATTCGAACTTTAAATCAAGAAATACTTTCCTATAATGAGACACTCGTCATTATCAGCGCGGACATTTATTCATCTAATTTTCTGTCATTTATTTTTCTGATTGTACATCCCGGAGAGCCTATTAATTTGATGTTGCGTTGAAAAGCGTTGTATTTTGCAGTCGTGCACGGAAAATACGCAAATACGTCCCTTAGTAAAATTCCCTCCATATTTTGTATGTCAATTATGAAATATTTATGCGGTGGACTGGTAACACGTTGTCTATACGGTAGCGTGATGACAAATAACGCTCATTTGTGTTTTCCAGGAATATATTATATCGGTTGCGGCAAACGGATTGATCCACGATCGTGCCTGGCGTAACGTAGGAACGATTACGATCGGTGAGTAGATACAGCTATTTACGGACGGACAAATGGGCGAAAAAGCGCGCGTGTCAAACGCGACATCAAATACTCCACTTTGCATGACTCGATGCGCGTCGGATTCTCGCGATCTCGATGTTTGAAAAACATCACGGATTTCGTCGTGATGATAAGCGGAAGGGAAGAGGGGAAAACGATTACCTGAAGGGAAGGGAAGGTCTCGTGGATCGCGTAGGGACGCAAAGATGCGGAATTGCCGATTCAAAATATAAGAATGAACTTCACGATGTGTGTTGGAACGACGCGTGTCGTGTTATGCATGTGGATATTGTTGCATTCGCGACATTCTGCACTGCGCGACCCAGGGGCACTTCGCGCCAAAGGGGCGAAGTATACCGCGACACGAAGTATAGCGCGGAACCGGGCCATGCGTTCGTGCGAGGGCAATCGATCGATTGCCCGCTTGCCTGCCCGCTTGACTTTCTTGACGGTTCAGCTCAGCATTGCGCTTCCAAGAATCTACCCCCCGCGCGGGCGCGAGATCGCCACCCCCGCCCGCCTTCGACCCGCTCACGCACAGAAAAAAAAAAAGAGAAAAAGAAGTCCACGTGTGCTCGCTCGCGCGAGCTCTGCGAAACACACGTCGTGCAATTCTTGCCGACGCGAAAAGGGCGGGAGAGGACGCATTGAAACGCGCTGACCGGTGCGTGCGTTGGAGAGCCGACGAAATCCCGGAAAATATGAATTCCCGAGATGACGCGTCGAGACTCTCGGTTAATTAATGCGCGTGAATAAATCGAGCGCTTGCACTTCAGCTGATGAAAAGTCGGCCGCGATGTTTTAACCGAGTTTAAATACTTTTTTACTGTCAATTCCACACGGGAAAAAAAGCTCCGTTAGATTGACCTGTTTTCTGGTAAAATACAAACGAACCAGAAAATTCCAGTTGATGTTATCAGAATTCTGTTCAAGTTAACCAGAAATCTCGTTGATTTGAACATTCTGACAATTTATTTTTGTTTCGTTTATATTTTAGAAACCTGCTAAGTTCAACCAAACATTCTTTTTTCGTGCACGTTGGACAAATTAATAGCCACATTTCGAAAATCTCGTTTGTGCATATCTCGTTTTGCGAAATTCGAAGCGTGACTCACAGACTTGCTCATGAACTGTTTGTCGTTATTGATGACCGAGTCGGTTTAATTTATTCCAATTGTTATCGCGACCGACCGTTTGATTTGTATTGGCGTAGTCCTGGATAAGGATCGATTCTCGGTTGGCATTGGCGATCTCGCCTTGATGACGACAACATTTCGGGCTGAGTTGTTAATACAACAGAAACTCGCGTCGAACGCGAATTAACGACGGATGGCGCGGAATCTTGCGATTCACCCTCGGAAACCACCGCAACCGCCCGCATAGCGCTTCGCTTTAATATCCCGTAACCCATTTTTTCCCGCTCTGACCCAGTAAAGCCGGTTATCTCGTGTACCCATGAAAGGCCATTAAATCGTTGTTATACGCATTCACAGTGTATAGTATCGATACATCGTATAATCCAGTATGGATCGTATATAACAGATAACACAGATTACACTAACATTTCGTCGCTTGACTCTCCGCAATTTAAACTCCTCTCGCGAGGCAATCCTTTCTTACAAGTAAGAATGACGCACCACGGCGTGCTCAAACTTACTCCACTCGTCGCGAGAACGTTAAATCGCGATGATGTTCACAATCGTTGATAAAATTCCACCAGTGAAGAGACATTATTCGTTTCCAACGACTGAATTTAGAAGAGAAAGTTGCTGTGCAAGTGTTATAAAATTCGCGAATCTAACTGGTACATACTTTTAGATTAAGAGCACACGCCAATTAGCTTCAGGAATTTTACAACAGTTGCAAAGTAGCTTTCTCTATTAAACCTAGTAATTAATCATCTAAGATTTTCCTATAACTATTAGGTTAATATCTGCTAATCTTTTATACTGAGAAAAGAAATACCTAAGAATTAGTAAATATTTATTTGATGGATACTAACAGCGCATATTTACTTATACTAAGATGAAATATATTTCTCTAAATAAGAAAATATACATTTTATAAGAAACCTTAGTTTTTCTTGCTTGAAAGAAATTATTTATTCCATTTAAATAAGGGAATTTAGATTTAAATAAACGTTAACTGTGTTAGTACTTTTACACCAAATAAATATTTACTAATTTATAAATATTCTTTTTCTCAGTGTATTAATCTGGAAGCTCTTAGATATCCAAACACGAGAAACGTTAAAAGGTCTGTGAGAGTTAACGTAGTTCGATTGCTACGAATAAATTATTATTTCTCGCCTTTTCCTCATCAAGGAAGTGTTTAATACTATTTTTAATGTATCAAACTTTATCAATCTTTTGTCCCTTTTGTGATATTAATACTATTATTGCCCCCTCTTAGTCTATTTTTTATCGAATTCAAGTTATTTTTTTCTTAATCACGCGTGATAACACCGATACGGATAACGGTCGCACGAGGCGTCTTCGAAGAGGACAGTTTGCGTCACTCGCGAGAACGGTGGGCGCGGAGATGAGAATATAATATCTAGTATCTTGACACGCGCATTGTGCACCCTATAAATAGAGTCTGCTAATGGTTATAGAGGGACACAACGATAAAGCTCGCCTCGAATCATTCGGCAACAAGAAGCGCCCGAGGAGGACAGAGAATTATCGACGTCCGCGAAATTCGGCGATACTCCACTGACCCGGGGGTGCACTTGTACCCATGTATCCGAGTACACTCGTACCCGAGGACATAACATAGCGCACCTGTTGCGTTCGTTCGCCCCGCAAAACCTGTCTCTCCTCACCCAATTCTCCACCGTCACTGCACCCTCACCCTTTTTTTTCTAGACGCACGCGTGTGCTTTCTCTCTCTCTCTCTCTCTTTCAAAAGCCTCGTCTACCCTCTGAACAGATATGTTTCATTCGACAGAAAGAGTCCAAGCGTCCGCGTTCGTCAGTCATCTAAAGGGAAGTCGCTTCCCCGGATTATCCGAATTGTCACAGATCGCGCGAGTAGTCGAGATAAACGATAATCGCGACACAGAGCGACATCGACGGACGAAGGTATCAATGAATGGTTTTGTGTGTGAACCGTGTGCAAAATTTTACACACACACATAAACTCCTGGTTAAACCCTCGCCTCCCACGCCGCCGTTATTCGAAGTATATTCAACGATGTTTAATGAAACACGCGGCTAAGCCCGGTCCATCACGTATCCCGATCGCCGTGCTCGTTGCGCCCCTTCCCTCGGAGCGCATGCACACAGCTTTAACGCGGAACTAACTCTTATTTTAGCACGGATCTCCGGCGGATCGCGCCGAGCGTATGACGCGACCCTTGACATTATGCCCTATCGATCGTTTATTTATGCCGAGGGATGATTTATCAAACTTTAAGAGATCCCAAGGAATTATCCTGCAGCAAGAGGCACGGGGAAGAGAGGAGGCGCGCTGTGGGCCGGCATCAATTATTCTCGTGCAGGCGTCGGCGAGATCGGCGGACGTTTGTATGGACGTTTTAGCGGAATGCGAGCGACCGCGCGAGTATGCGCGGCATCGAACAGTCCTCGGATTGTGCGGCGGGTTACGTCAATAGGAATATCCGTACTGTTATGTTGCATAAAGCAACGTCGAGGGTGACACGCGCGTTACGCCTCGGCGTCGCCTTCAATGGGCGATGACGTAAGTTACGTCTGCTTACGCACGATTACGCGGAGAATCAAGCCGCTGTAAGTTCAAGTGTGTGTCAGCCGGATAAGCGCGCCATTATTGCGGCGAACGATCGGTGGCGGGCCGCCGCTGTCTGAATCAGACTCTCTCCCGCTTCTCCCTCGAGAGGAGAAAGCACGTTGCCGTTGAGAATACGTTGTCGGAGTGAAATCCACGCGAAACATGCGTGCATCAACGAAGAAGCCCGATTTGAACGCATATGAGGCTCTTACAGTCGGCGAATGTAATCGGGATTGCCGGAAGATTACGATTTGAAGATGGGAACTTGATTTATTGTCAAAATCGAGATCAGTCGACTCGACTAGTCTCTAATTCGTAATCTTTTATTTTGTAATACCTAGTTCCAATACAGGGACTAATCTTAAGGCTCCTTGTATCTCGCCGCGGCCATGTTGGACTTGTGACGTCAGGAGCGAGGAATTACACGCTGACGAAAATTGCGTGGCATTTCTAGGTAAAGATAAGTACGGTCGAAGAAGCACTTGAGATCGCTTGAGCACACATGTAAAATTTTCCGAAAATTATCCCTTTTTCCTGAAGATCAGTAAATAGTCACATAATAAATAGTGAAATAAACTATACACACAAAACAGACTCTTTCATTATTTCACGTTTCTCATTTCACCATTTATTCTACGACTATTAATTAATCATTAAGAGAAAGCGATATCTTTCAGACAATTTTACAAGTGCTCAAGCAAATGCTCTTTCGTCCATATTTATCTTTATTTAGAAATGGCACGCAACTTTCGTCAGAATTCCTCGCTTCTGACGTCACAAATCCGACATGGCCGGCGAGGTACAAGGAGCCTTAAGGATGCTGAATACCGGCATTACGCAGTTTCATGGTTTTCTCTTTTCTTCTAATTAGATGCATCAAATTGAAAATACTTTCATAGAGTGAAAGTACAAACGTTAATGAATGATTGATGCTAAACAATTGCATAAAATCAACAAAAAAATGTTTACTTACTACTTATAAAAAAATTGTTGATTAATTTCATGCAACTATTTAGCATCAACCATTCATTAACGTTTGTGCTTTCATCCTGTGAAAAGATTTTCAATTTGATACATCCAATTAGAGGAAAAGAGAGAACTATGAAACTGCGTTATGTCGTTATTTAGTATCACATTCAAAGAAACTGATTATGCGATCATCGATAGAGAAGATCGAAACAAGTTGACATATCTTTTAGTGTTTAGACTTTTCTAATACCGAAATTCTAAAAACTGCTAGTATGTTCTTCTCGTCTTTCGCATTCGAGATTGAAAGCCGCAGTTTGAAGATTGGAGTTTGAGACAAGGCGAATAGATATCTATTATTTGATTTATTTGATTATATCTGATCTGTTATATACCCAATTTTGCGATCTCTAATCTACAATCCTCTAATCTATAATTGACGACACCCACTTTGATGTGGGCCTTAAAAGGATTGATTATGTTGCTACCGGTAAGAGAGACCAAGGTGAGTTAGCATTTTTTTCAGAACCTCGCTTTTCGACATACAACTTTTCCGACCACTAATTGCTGCAACTGATCGTACAAAGATAAGAAAACTTTTATACAAGAATCATGTGAGTATTTTTCCGGTGATACCGACATACGAACATGCTGCATCGCCAACTTGCCCTGGTACCGAGTTAAGTTGGCGTGCGAGGTAGCGCATGTATCCACACGTAATTCACACGTGAACGACGCGGCAGCGAAAGTGACTTGATGATTTGCCACTTGGTAACCTGCAAGCCGCAAGCCGTCGTTCAAGAGTGAAAGCGGCCAATGTTTAATATTGCGACATAATGCGAGTCGCACGCTTCCTCGCGGAAGAAACTCCTCAGAGGCGTCGTCGTGCACACGACGTCGGTGATCGATACCATCGTACACGACTCTTAAGCGGATCGTGCGGGTCGTATTGACCGACAATTTTCGCGCGCGGAGGAAGGTCACCGGCTGGCGGACATGTCACAATCATTGCCGTAATCACGAACGCGATCGATTATGGCGATCGAATCGACGTTAATATCGACCTTGTTACCACGCACGAGTCGCGTTGCGGTATGAAAGTCGCGGATATTTCCCTCCGTGTCATCGATTAGAATACTCGACGTCAAGCGGCGCGTCTTTTCAATTCGGTTGAACCTGTGTCAGACTAAGCATTAGAGATTGACAACTGCCAGTTGAAGATTGGAACTTGATTGATCGAGACAGGTGATGCACTTTTGAGAATTTCGGTATTAGAACTTCTCAGGCTCTTTTAATACCGGAATTCCGAAAAGTGTGCCAATTTATTCGGTTTTTTCTGCTGATAATCGCATAATTGAAACCTCTTCCCTTTAAAGCTTGCATTAAGACCCATAAAGACTTTACAAAGGTCATAAAAGTATCGCAGTAAGAATAAGAAATTGACCAGTCACAGTTGAATGTGAGAAGAATAATCAATTATGACTAGTTAATTTCTTATTCTTACTTCTTACAGCCATTCTCTTACAACCATTGTAGATAGACCTTTAGACACTACGCATTTATGATTGCGGATTAAAGATTGAAGCTTAATTAAATGAGACAAATTAGCACACTTTCGAGAATTTTGGCATTAGAACACCGAAATCCTGATAAACGTGTACTGAGACAAAATATTTGTAACTATAATTACATAGAGAAGTAATTATAAATTATGGTGTGAAAAAGCTATTTTTTATTAAATTCTACTATAATATCAATGATAATAATCTTATATGCATATTACTATCACCATTTTCATATTAGAATAATCCAAAAATATGGCCAAAAATACAGCCAAAAAAACAACCATAATTTTAGTTAGATCAATCATTTTTTTCTCTCAGTGTATCAATTTTCCTCAGTCTTTCTTACTGATGGTCGCATAATTAAAGTCTTCCTTAAGCTCGTATCAGACTAAGCATTAGAAATTGACGATTGCGAATTAAAGATTGAATAATCGAGATAAGTTGATGCATCTTTGAGAATTTCGGTGTTAGAACTTGCCAGGCTTTTCTAACGCCAAAATTCTGAAAAATGTGTCAATTTGCCTCGGACTTTCCTACTGAGGTCATATAATCAAAACCATCCCTTAAAGCTCACATCAGGCTGGATATTAGAGATTGGGGATCCAAACCAAAGGGGAACAAGATAAGTCAAGAACGAAATTAGTGGATTCATCGAATTCTAATCTCTAAACCGCGATACTCGAACTGCAATATCAGTTTGGCACGAGCCTTGCGCTTCCTGCACTTCGGTCTTTTCTCTTGTTTCTCGCAGTGCAAGCCAAACCGCCACGGACACCTCGAACTTCGCGTCGAACTTCGTGTACAAGCAAATACGATTATAGCATCGGCACGATTCTCGCGTTGATCGTCGTCGCGAGCTCACCGAGCGACCGATCCCTGACCGCAGCGACGTCGATCGATATATCGGGAATGGTAGCCGCGGCAGAGCCGCGCGTCACGCTACACGTATGTGCACACGATATATGCGCCACCGTGTGGCACACACCTTGACGATTCGATTGCCGTCCTATCGCACCTCGTAATCGAGACCTCGTTACCGCCGATGTAAACGGCGACGTCGTGCACCGGGTCGGCTCGGCGACGGGCTGCACGAAGGCAACGCGAGCGCCGCGTCGCTCCCATGCACCAGTCGAAGTGGTTGCATCAACGACTGGTCAGACGCAGCGTCTGGCCTAAGCTCCGCGCGTTTGGCTCCCACGAGATCCCCTCGCGCAGGCTTATAAACCTCTGCATGCTCTTGTCAAGTTCAGAAATTTAAGCACATAAAGATCTGCCATTTAACAAACAATTTGAAACAATTGGGAACTGCCGTTTGAGGAGGAGAGTCGTGTATTCGTCAGTCAAAATCATGAAGAAGAAGATCCCCTCGCGATCACACCTGCCTCCAAGCGAGTCTCCCGCAACTTCACCGTGTCGCACGTTTTATGTTTCCTGTTTTATGTTTCATTATTCTCTCGTCCTAGCAATAGCATCGCTATCTTTCTATTTTTTCAGTGTCTTTAGGAGCAAAGTGTAAAGCATAGAGTCGAATCAAATGCTTTATAGCTTCAAGCTCGCGGTATTTTCTTTATATCCTAGTTAAAGGTGGGACTGCACGAAAAAGAACGGTTTCCTATTAATTTGACGTTACTTGATTCGTTACTGTTTAATTATCAACGCACGACATCGGTTGAATGCGTATTTTAATCCTGTCATTTTGTTTATGGCCGATGATCGCTGACATGCTATCCTATACTCTTGCGAACATCAAATGCCAAGCTCATGATGCTTACATTATTTTAAATGTATCAGTACTCTATGCCGTTACTCTCGTCCTCGTCGTCTTAAGACTATTGTCTTATTAATATACATCATTATAGCGTACGCCCCCGTATTCGCGTGCCTTTACACTTTGCTTACTTGTACTATATTTATGATAGCTACGCCTCTGTTTCTGTGGAATGTCAAACGATCCGTCGTGCAACACCGCAACCCCGACGCGTTAGATACTTTTTATACGCGATTCCCTTAGGCTTATTGTCAGAATACCCGTTTTGAACAAAAACGATGAAAAAGAAAGACTCGTATTGGAAGCCATGGTATGTTGTGCGTTGAAAGGTCGACTATCGTTCGTTTATCAGTTCGAGGTGGGAAGGAACAACTCCTACTGCGACTGAAGGAATACGATGGGCTGTTTCCATCTCTCTCTCGCAAGAGTCTGAAAGGAGTCCGAAAGAGCGATATGATCCGCGGACGCCTTCGCGACGTCTTTTAGACACTTGTGTCGCGAGGTGAAGGAGACTCATACTCTTACATACATACACATATACACACACACACACACACACACACACACACACACACACACACACACACACACACACACACACACACACACACACATATATATATATATAACATACACGAGAGTGACACTTACGGTTGAGGAGGTCGAACACTCTCCACTAGCGTAGATAGTCACCGCTGCGAACGTAAAATAGATAGACGCAGCTAGCGTAGCGTTATGGAGAGAAGAGGCACTGCGACGTCGAGGGAAGAGGGGGCGGGTGCTGGGATACCTCCGCGGGCCTTGCTCGTTCAACCTCGGGGTAAAGGTAGCACAATCGAGCACCGTGCGACGACACTGAGATGATACACTTTCACACCGGCCGACGATATAGAAGAAGAACAACCGACGACGACGACAACCACCACTACCACCACCACCACTACCACGACGACGACGACGACGACGACGTGGCGCTTCTCGTGGGATTCCTTCTCGCGCGATATCCTACCCCTTTGGCGTGTGCATAGGTGCGTAGGTGCGCGTGTATCGCGCGCGTGGACGACTCTTTATTCGATCTTCACTCGGACTTCCGTTACCCCTGAGTCTCCCTCAGGTTCGGACGACGATGGCGACGGCTACGGGCTGTTCGAGGCGCCCTTTGCTCTCGGACGATTTTCTCTTAACCACCGTCTCTCGCTTTTCTTCTCTATACTTTCGTCACTGTTTTGTATTCTTCTTCTCCGCTATCAGCTCCTCTCTCTCTTCTCTTCCACCACCTCCTCCTCCTTCTCCTCCTCCCCCGCTTCTTCTTCTACCGCCTCCTCCTCTTCCTCCTCCACCTCCTCCTCCTCCACCCCCTACACCACCTCCTTCTCTATTCTTCACCGCAGCGGCAAGGACCCGCCCCGTGTCGCGCTACACGAACGTGTAGTGGATGAAGAGAGCGTAAAACTTGCTCTGCGACAACATTATCCGGCCGGTTATCGGTGCCTCGCGCGCCTCGTCATTTCGTCTCGTCCGTCCAGCCGTCCGCCCGCGCGCCGCAACGAAAATTGATCGCGTTGCGCGCGACGGTCCCTTCCTCGGGGACAGGCCCGTCGACGCGTTCGTACCCCGACCGTGCCGTCCGTGTCGCCCGTGTTGGCGCGGTCGTGCTCCTCTCTCGCTCTCCCCCTTCTCTCTCTCTCTCTCTCTCTCTTTCCCTTACGTCCAGTTAGGCACCTGCCGCGCTACCACCGCTCTCGCCGTTCTCGCTGCACCCTTAACTGTCCGCCGCGAGGGACCGTGCGGGTCCTTCTTTTCCACTCCCTTTGTTCTGTCGTCGACTCTTTCCGCGGCACCCTCGCACACATATACGCGCGCGCATCAATCGCACACACGCGACTCTACACACGCGCACACAACACACACGTTACGTATGCATACGGATCGCGCGGCACGGCCGAGAACGTGCGCGCGCGCGCGCGCGCACCAACGATCGTTCTCTTTATCCCTCTCGCTCCAACCCTCCCTGAGCAGCCGCGTTCCTTCCCTCTCGAACACTGTGTCCTCCTTCGCTACTTCTCCCACCTTCTCCTCCGCTTTCTGCCCCCTCTCTCTGTCTGTCTTTCTCTCTCTCTCTCTCTCTCTCTCTCTCCTTCTCTTTCAACCCTCGACCCGTCACCAACGGTGTCCCTCTGCGCCCCCTCAGCGTCCCGACCTCCGACGTCTCACCCTCGGAGCAACGCGGCCGGCACGAAGGGTCGCTCGCTCGTTCGCTCGCTCGCTGCTAAACACCAAGCTAAGACTTCGTTTTCGCGCGAGTTCCTTTTGCCAACACCCACGACGAATCCACCTTCACTTATTCTCTTTCTTTTTCTCCCTCTCTTTCTCTCTCTCCCGACTCTCGCGTTCCTCTTGCGGTGCGTCTCTCGGTGCGGTACCGCGAAAGCCTCCTCTCCTCGGTGCCGACTGTCGCGATCAGTCGAGCCGACGCGGGGACGTTACTGCATCGCCACGCGCCAATCTTTCGCGCAGCGGACTCCGCGGGAACTAGTCACGGGGTGGCTCGCTACAACACCCGCACCCCCATTCGCGATTCGCTACGTGGGCCACCCCCTCTTTCTACCGTTCTCTCTTTCTCTCCCTTTCTCTCTCCCCTTCTCTGTCCTCCTCTCTCCCGACCAACCCTGTTAAAACCGTCTCGCGCGGGCTCCAAGTTCGCGGCGCCTCCGGCCTGTACAGCGCGACGATCACTCCCGAGACGATCTAGACGTCGTCGCGAGAACCTACCGCCGTCGCGACGCCAAGTCCGTCGCAGGGGATGCGAGTCGACGATTTACTTGACGGGTTATTGCGCGGCGAACCGACGGGATACTGCCGACGATACGGACGACGGGTTTGAGATCAATGCTCCGTTCAGAGCTCGTAAGTGCTTGCGTGGTGCGCTTCCGTAGCACACGGGCTGGATCAATGAAAATGTACCCCTCCAACGTACCCGCCGTCCCCCCGCGTCACAGGGAAACCACGGTACCACACCGCGCCACTCTTACTACCTCTGCCTGAAAACATCTACCCGCGCACCTCGGTAAAGTTCGACTATCATACCCCGTGAGTCTCGGTAAGCTCGTCCATGAGCGGCTCGCCGTCCTCACGTACGTGTGTGTCGGTCTCTCGATCTCGAACGCCGTTGATTCTCTGCCCGGTGCGCGATATTAGACACAGGGACTGGATATCGTGAGAAGGAAGGCCGTCGAGAGACTGGGTACAATTTGTAGTAAGATATATTTCATATATATCGTGCACTTCGTTCGATCACAAATTTCCTAAAAAAGTTCGATTTTTCATGATTGTACAAATGAATCACGCCTCTTCTCCCGACGAGCGTACTCGACGTCGAACACGATCGAATGTGATCCCTCGTTCGCACACAAATGCAAACAAACACACGTGAATTCTATCACACATGATACACGTGTTATTCTAAAACTAATGAGACGAGGAACTTTGAACGGTCGCGCCAGAGTCTCGCTTCGGCGCCGAATACGTCGCGAGAGGACGGGCTAACACTCACGCTTAATATCACACTGATATGATTACATCCGAGCTAACAGTTCGTGTAAAAATATATGTGTTGTACATAAATATAGGAATATCTCTTTGTGTAGAACAAATGGTGGTATGGTGGCTTATGTACCTAAACGTACACGCGACACACGAAGATAACCACATGGCTCGAGCGCGACTCGCGCGGACATCGTCAGTGAGACTGACGACTGCGATTTAGGAGTCGCCGCGATGCGATCACTTTCATTGACTGAGGTAAACGTCGCCTTGTCGCTTCGGCATCCTGCGAATACAAAGGTACAAGCCGGCGATGATCATGATGAGCAAAGGAAGGCCGAGACCGATTGAGATTATCATAATCACTAGATTGGAGAATCTCTCCTCGGGTGGGGTGCCGTATCCGATGATGAAGGTCCTGCGCAAACAGAATGAGAGAAGACTTGGATTAGTTAGGAAAACTAGAACTCGGTATTTCATGTGTCAATTATCTCAGACGACAGCTCTTACCATGTCGAATAACTAGTCCTCTTATAAAAACCATCTCCTTTCGAACCTATGGAAACGGTCACTTTCTGCATAAGGAGCGTGTCCGTGTCATTTCCATAGTAACAGTACAGCATCGAATTGTCAATGACGTTCGTACGATTCAATACCTTCCTTGGAGGGTACTGCATTGTCTCTGTGGAACTAGTTACCTCGCGCAATGCGGTATTGTAAGACACCGGGCGCCACTGTAAATACGCTCCAGTATTCAATGCGCTGTCCAAGTCGCTGTAGGGCGGTGTTCTAACTTCGACCACCTAAAGAAAACTCAGTATTACGAATACACTTTTAATTTTAAAAAGCAACATATAAGAAGGAGAATAATAAGTTAATTCTATTGGAAATAGTAAACGCATAAAATCCGGGATGGACGATGTTGAAAGAAGGAATCGAAATATCTGATTGTCAAAAACTAGGACTTAATAGTGCAAGTTTTGATAATCTGGCTTGTGCCTTTGAGTCGTACAATCTATCGTAAAAAGCAAAACTAAGCGACAAGAGTTTCAATTACACTTTAAAATAAGTCTTATCCGCTAAAACATGATCAAGCAGACTGCTTGGCACCATCTAACAATATTGTAAAAAAGCTTGTTATAACGGGTTCGAACCTCGACTAAACGGGGTTCGAGTCTTGGCTAATTCTTTTTAAAAGCTCCGCTACGAACTGTCTCAGTCTTCAACGAGAAGTCGAGATACGACACAATGGCTAACCAGGCAATCTTTTTATTTTTCAGTACTATGACTCAATGGCAGATTAAAAGACCTTTTCATTCTCAAGTACTACGTCTCAACGGTGTATCAGAAGACGTTTTCATCTCGAAACGTACGGCTTGAGGACGAATCGATGGAACTTTTCTTTTCTATAGCCCGAATTGTTGAATAGTTTTATCTCTGTTTACTAGGAAATAAAAGTTTTTTTGTTCTGTGATGATGAATAATACTACTGACAGCTGGGCATCCAAACAGAATAAGCTGCAAAATATTTCTAAGGAAGTATATAGAAGCTATATACTTTTAGTAATATAGTAATAAGAGCAAGTAGATAAAGATACCGATCCAAGGATCATTTAGATCCTAATGATCTATTAATCCCGATTTATAAGAGATAATTATTGTAGAGATACTTATTGTAGACTTATGCTACCTCGCTATTTATTTAAAATCAAGACAGTAACTTCAGCTTTCTATCAGAAGCCAGGTGTAGCAGATTACTCAATCTTATCTCTTGAATGTCTTCAAGTTCTAAAAGCGCGACCCCAAAGCTGATATCTTTTATAAGAGCATATATTTAGGTTATAAGAAGACATTATTATTTACTAATGAAATTTCGGCGTATCAAATCAAGGGACCATTGACGTAGAGAAGTTTAATCGAATCGGCAAGCACAAAGAAGATTAATAAATCCTTTAACAAAGAAAAAATAGGATATCGATTCATCGATCGGATCATCAGCCATCCCCACGTGTAACTTATTACCTCAAATATACCCGGCGTGTGTTCGTCGTCCAGACTCTTCTTCGGATCGACGAACATAGGTATCTCGGGATCACCGCCGCCGACCACGAGCAATTCAATCGCGAATCTGCTCTTGGAGAACGTCAGATTGGTTTGTATATCATCGAGAACGATGTCCACTTGCGTCGAGTTCTCCGTGTGCAGCATATGTGGCACCATGTCCGAATGGTCGAGAGTGCAAAATCCCCGCAGCTGTAAAAGCGAAGAGAGAGAGAGGTTTTACGCGGGCGCTTCGCGAGTCGCGCGCGGGACAAAAGGAAGCAAGAGGTCGGGCTACGTTCAAGCTTGAAGCTACTTTGCCGCTGAATCGATCTCATTGTAATCGTTTTCGCATGCATCGCTATGTACTACCGGGGAAGAGAAAGAGAGACAGAGAGAAAGATAGATAGATACGCGATACTTTCTCTGAAATGCTGTAACATACTTTACCGAAAGCCTTATACTCCCGTATCTGCTGATATTCTTAGTTGTATCGTGATAAGAGTTACCCTCCATATCCAGGTAGACAAACTCGTCGTTTTTCAATAAGGACACGAGCCGCCAGTCGAAATACTCTGGATACAAAACGTTCGTGCTAGCGACGTCGGCAGTGTCAATCAGTGCCGTTTCATTTACGTCGTTGAATTCGATAATCTACGGACAGAGAATGGTTAGCGTTATTGGACGGCGCACGTCAGCAGCTGCGACCTACACGATTCGTCCTAATCGCTGCGTTAATGAAGCACAAAAATCATCGCGACGCACACACCGCAAAACCGGATCAAAAGATGGAAGCTGCGCGCGATCGCATCCAGACGAAACGCGATTTCTCGCGCGAGAGATCGTGCGCGTTAAACGCTAATAAATTAATCGAGATTAAAGCAGCGTCATCCCGCTTCGACGTTGACGTGCATCGCGCGCACGAAATTTCCGATGGACGCACGGTCGACCGGTTGCGCGCAACGCTTGTTTGTGCACGTCGCTATATAAACTCAAAACTCGCTGCAAAAACTCGCTGCCCGTTTTGTCAATTATTTTGCCGACCGATTCATCCATTCAAAAGGCAACAATAGCGTTTGTTCGCTCGATAAATAATTCGTCTCCATTAAACGCGATAGAGTCAAGTTCGAGTCAAAAAGCGAGCGAAATTTTTTCGTCAACGTTCATTTCTGCGCGCTCGAAATTAAGTTATACGGCGAATGTTAACGTTCCAAATGGCGAAAGCTTGCATAAAACGCTCGTATAAGATAAGATAAAATACTCAATTATCGACTTTCCTTTATAGCTGTTGACATTGTAGAAAAATCTACTTTCTTTACGACCAATTACGACGACGGTTATCTGCGGTTTTAGTTGTGAAGTTCTCTCTCTTTTTTTTTACAGACAAAACGAGTGCAGACAAGAAGTTCGACCACAACATTGATCGTAAGAAAGCCAGATTTTTTCCTGAGTGTCAATGGCTATGTGCTGCGTTCCGCAGCGAAAGCTGCTTTGCAACTGCTGTAGAATTCTTAAATCTAATTAGTATATGCTCTTAGTCTTGGCTAGATCCAAAAGCACATACCAATCAGACTCATGAATTTTGCAACAGTCGCAAAGTAACTGCCTCTGTGGAACGTCTAAGTCAACGACTAAGGGAATATCAAAATTGGATCCTCTATCCGAATGAAGCACCAAGAAATCGGAGATCAAAGAGATGAACGAGGATCCTCTTTGCCGGGAATGCTCACCTTATTCACTATCACCCCGAAGGTGTAAATGGCCGGCTCCGAGAAGTAGACCGAGTTATTCCGCCCGTCGAGATAGTCCGGCCAGGTGATGTTGAGCCAAGCGGATGACGGCGTGAGCGCAAGCAGCACGGACGGTTTGCCGACGGCGAAGTCCCATAAGTAATGCAACGTGTCGTTCGCGCCATCGGCTCTCAGGTAAAGCGTCGTCGCGTTCCGCCGCTGGCAGTACTCGTCGCAGCCCGGATTCACCCACGACCGTAGCTACGGAGACGAGGGCGGATGAGTGTGAGCGCGGACGCGTTTTACGAATCGTCGTAGTCGCAGCTGATGCGCGATTAGACACGCACGCTCACGCATTAACGGATGGATGACCCAGATCAGTGGCGGATTATTGTGCCCGACGTACGGACGGACGGCCTTGTCGTTCGCCCCCGTGCCTTCTGCTCCCCCTTCTTCCTCTCATCCTCCCCCTCATCATCACCGCCCACCCCTCGAGCGAGCTTACAATGATAGCGTACGATTATACAAAACGCCGTTACGTTAACGCGCGATGTGCGGGCTCACATTTACGTCGAAAGACCCCCCGCGGGGGAGAACGCGCAGACCTGAGGCCGTATTCCTTCACGCTTGTTTGAACGCCAAATACGCCCTTTCTCTTTCAAGTTGCGTTTTTCCTGCGCGAGCGTCCCGCGTATAAAGTTGTTTCAACTTGATGATCAGAAAGGTGTTCGAATACGCGTCCAGAGCACCACGGTCTCTGGGATTAACGATGCTTGTCGCTTATTAACGATGATGTTGCTATTTTTAACGAGACGTCTTGTACGGGACGATACACTGAGAAAAAAATTTACTAAATTTAAAAAAAACGTTTGTTTGGATAGTACTGTGAAGATATTTGTTTAAATTAAGTAATTATTTTCTAAAATTACATAAAGAAGTTTTAAATATAAATTTGCTTCTTTAATTTTTGAAAATAATTACTTAATTTAAACAAATATCTTCACAATACTATCCAAACAAACGTTTTTTGAAATTTAGTAAATTTTTTTCTCAGTGTATATCGATAATATTTTTGAAAGGCGATCCTATAAGATTATAAGAATCAGTCAAACAAGAAGCTGCAAAAGAGGTTAGTCTGTTCTTAATATTTGTGTAATTTTTGGATGTAATTCAGTGTTCTTAATTTTTTAGATTCTTATTTTAACTTAATCTTTAAAACTTACTAATTTTTATGTCTCATTGTCTAGAATCAGTAGGTATAAACAGAATAGCGGTCCCACAATTCAGCTAAAAAGAACAGACCTATTATCGTTAGGAAATTACAGAATAGGTTTGCTGAGCCCTCTCGATCGGAGTTGCGGAGCTGGAATTCGCGAGTCAAGACGGCGTCGTGACGACACTATAGGTCTGTTCGTTTTCAACGGACTAGTGCAGTAAGTTCGAGTGAAACAAACATACTTCCATTCACTCGAACTTACCGCACTAGTGTGCATTAATTCAGAAGTTCTTCGAAAACGAACAGACTTAATAATAAACGAACAACTTAATGACAGAATTGGCTTCATTTCCCTTTGTCGCCGAAGGGAAGGGGGAGCTTTAACACGTCGAGGTGAATTCGCGGACGGTTTATGTACTTATTTACTAATACGATCGATATCACCGAGCGCTATTATAAGTTGGAGAAAACTAGATCCACAAACTTGCCCAATATCGACGTCCACGAATATTATCTTTTGAAACATTGACAATTCGTGTCTGCCTCGTGGCCTCTGCAATTAAGTGGCGCGTTTGCTTTAACCGTCTGAAAACATTGATAAGTTTATTATCGTGTGTTTGACAGATTGACACACCGATTATTACGCGTATCTAAAATGGAAGAGACGGTACAATGTAAACAAAATATTACGCATGCCGAGATTGTGAGAACTCGGAATTAAATTCTTCCCGAATTCAAACTTTATTTTATTTTTATTTACTTGTTTGTTCTACGAACAATTATGCTTTTGATACGAAATTCAACTGACGGTTCAATGGTTTGCTGATATTAACAAGATAGTAATTAAATTGTCCGTAGCAGAAAACAAAATCAAAATAAACACTAAAGTCTGATCTACAATATGTTCTTTGCGTTCTCTTTCTTGTCTTCTGTCTTTTTTTGGCTTAAAGCTTAAGGTTTGAGTCAGAAAGAGATAAAGAGAAAGAAGCAGGAAGCAAAGAATATATTGTAGATCAAGCTTGATCTATAATGTGTTATTTGCTTCCTATTACTTTTCTTTATCTCTTTCTGATTTAAGCCTTAAACCTTAAAGTAAAAAAAGACAGAAAATAAGAAACAGGAAGCAAAGAACACATTGTAAATCAAGCTTTAAGCCTGATTTACAATGTGTTCTTTGCTTCCTGTTTCTTTATCTCTTATGAACTCAAACCTTAAAGCTTGGTCTACAATGTACTTTTTGCGTTTTGTTTCTTGTCTTCTGTCTTTTTCCGATTTCCTGATCTACAATATGCTCTTTGCGTTCTGTTTTTTGTTTTCTATCTTTTTCTGGCTTAAAGCTTAAGGTCAGAAAGAGATAAAGAGAAAGAAGCAGGAAGCAAATAGCATATTAAGCTTTAAACCTGATACATGCTCTTTGCTTCTTTCTCTTTATTTCTTTCTGACTTAAACCTTAAGTTTTAAACCAGAAAGACAGAAGACAAGAAACAGAACGCAAAGAGCATATTGTAGATCAGACTTTAAGCCAGAAAAAGACAGAAGGCAAGAAACAGAACGCAAAGAACACATTGTAGATCAAGCTTTAAGATTTAATTAAAAAAGAGATATAGAGAAATAAGCAGGAAGCAAAGAACACATTGTAGATCAAGCTTTAACCCTTTAAGTATCACTGATACTGAATAAAGACCACTTAGGATCGGACAGTTAAAACCTTATAAATATGCTATTTAGAATGTTTCTGACAATATTTCATTAAAGAAAAGTTATTAGGATGTTCCATGAATTATGAATTATAAAGGGTTAAGCTTGATCTACAATGTATTCTATATTTCTTGTTTCTCTCTCTTTATCTCTTTCTGATATAGACCTTGAACCTTTAGTTAGGAAAAAATAAAGAATAAGAAAGAGGAAGCAAAGAGTATTGTAGATTAAGCTTAAAGTCTGATCTACAATGTGTTCTGTGCTCCTTGTTCACTATCTTTTTCTAGCTAAAGGTTTAAGCTTCATTTACAATGTGTTATTTGCTTCCTATTTCTTTTTCTTTATGTCTTTCTGACTCAAACCTTAAACCTTAAGTCTGATCTACAATATACTCTTTGCTTCCTGTTTCTTTCTCTTTATCTCTTTCTGACTCAAACCTTAAGCTTTAAGCCTAATCTACAATATGCTCTTTGCATTCTGTTTCTTGTCTTCTATCTTTTTCTGGCTTAAAGCTTAAGGTTTGAGTCAGAAAGAGATAAAGAGAAAGCAGGAAGCAAAACACAATGTAGATCAAGCTTTAAGCCTGATCTACAATATGCTCTTTGCATTCTGTTTCTTGTCTTCTGCCTTTTTCTGGCTTAAAGTTTAAGGTTTGAGTCAGAAAGAGATAAAGAGAAAGAAGCAAGAAGCAAAGAGCATATTGTAGATCAGGCTTTAAGCTAGAAAAAGACAAAAGACAAAAAACAAAATGCAAAAAGCATATTGTAGATTAGGCTTTAAATTAAAAAAAGACAGAGAACAAGAAACAAAGAGTACATTGTAGATTAAGTTTTAAACCAGAAAAAGACAGAGACCAAGAATCAGGAAGTGAAGAACACATTGTATATGAAGCTTTATGGTCGTCCTACTCATGGACGTAGTACACATGAACCCCGCATACGGCCAGAAAAGTGAATCCAATATGTACAGCCCCTCTGTGTTCTCTGTCTCTTTCTGCACAAAGTGTGCAATAAAATTTAAGTAAGTCTTTTACTTGCCAGTCTAGTCGGGGCTGTTGCGCTCTATAATATTATGGAAACGAGAAATGGATGCACGCGCAACAAGAAAGTAATAAAATAAGAAGAAAAACTATAGCCCCTTTATTCTAGCTCTCTTTCTAGATGTTGGTTTCATTCTATTAGACGACAGAACATAGGACATTCGGAGTCTATGTATACTATGTCCATGGTCCTACTGTCTCCACGTGGGCGTAACCGTTGCGATTTTTTTCAAATCACATTGTTCATTGCGTAAAGAGCTCGCGTTGCTAACTACTGCTATAATGAACGTCTCACTCGACGCTCGCGCGGGACATTTCAAGCGACCGTGTCCTTAGCCCGCCGCCGCGATCTGGGTCAGGTCGGGCTACTTATCTGAATCACCCGTTAATACGCGAGTAGCCAATTTATCAATAAATCCACCTGTTTAATAATTGACCAAACCATAATAAGTATATCCAACGCACGAGCAGCGCAGCGCAAACGTACGGAATTTCGGAGCGCAGACCGGAAGCGAGAGGTTACGAAAGAGAGCGACGCCAGTGGGCCCCGCGACAATAACACGCCCCCCTGTTGGCCCACTCCGCCGAATAAATAAATCGCTGTCAATAGCGCGATCAAAGGCAGTGCAGTGCGTTGCACGGCAAAACGATGCAGCAGACAGACCTCGTGGAGAGGAGGAGGAGGAGGATGATGATGATGATAAACAGCGCTGGAACGCGCACGGAAGGTTCAAAGTCGCGCGATGAATCATACGCGCGCGTTTTCTCCGCGATGCGGACGGAAATCCGCGGCGAAAACACACAAGGCGCGGACACGTCGTCGTCGCAGCACGCGATCGGGTTCTTTTTGCCTCAATACGCTTTTACTCACTGTGCGACGCGTGGAACAACCCGGGTGTGCCAATGCGACGAGCAACAGACAGAACGTCAAGGCGCTGGCCATGCCTGACGTCGCGTACGACAACGACGTGCGAAACACTGCGTCGATCCTCGCTCCGCCGTGAACGTTGTGACGCTACTCCGTGGTGACTACTGGTGCACGCTCGCTCGTGGGAACGCGAACCTCTCTCTCTCTCTCTGTCTTTCTCACTCTTCTTCTGCGCTGCGTTCGAAGCAGCGCCGCGGTGGTCGGCAAGAGGAAGCTACGGAGCGGACCCAGTCGGTAACTGGTTACCGACAGAGGCCGCTCTTGTGATAAGAGCAAGAGTCTGTTTACCGACTCACTTCAGCTTCTCTGTTACAGCAAGTACCGCATCAATGGCGTCCGGCGAAATCCTCGCATTCACAGGCGTTTCATCGATTCTTGCTGTTCTCTCGCGGAATCAAATGGTTGGAGCGTATTGTGGATTCAGGCACGACGAGGTACGTTCTCTTCAACGTTACAGAAAGATTTTAGTGCTGAATGACGAGCATACGACGCATCCGTATCGTTTCGTAGATGGATCTACAGCGCGCGGAACAATGAATTCATTAAAATCTACACAAACTGGAACAATAATCTTAACGCATAAATTCATGATATATTATGAAGTAATAATAATGATAATCATTATAGCAAAATAACGATAATATACAGGGTGTCCGGTAACTGATTGAGCAACCGCCGCGTACAGGTAGAACAGGTCAAAATAATCATAAAAGTTATATACCATTTTGAAATTTTCTCAATATTTATTCCGTAATTAATTAAAATGTATAAACGAATGAGCTCATGAGAAGCGGTAGGACAGGCTCTGTGTGTAAAAGAAATGGCTTATCTCTTAACAACGATGAGTAAACAGCTGATTTCGAGACGAAGTAACAAGCGATATGTATATGTTACTCCACCTCGAAATCAGTTGTTTACTAAGTTTATCGTTACTAAGAGGTAAGCCATTTCTTTTACACACAGAGCCTGTCCTACCGCCTCTCGTGAGCTCATTCGTTTATACATTTTAATTAATTACGGAATAAATATTGAGAAAATTTAAAAATGGTATATAACTTTTATGATTATTTTGACCCGTTCTACCCGTACACAGCGGTTGCTCGATCAGTTACCGGACACCCTGTATATGAAATAATAATCCCATACAGCATAAATGTCTAAGAGACATCGTCTAAGAGGTTCATATTAATAGTCTCGTTATTTGAAACTTGTCTCACGTGAAATACTTAGATTTGAATTCAAAGTTAGATGAAGCTTTCAGTTGAATCATATAATACGTATGACATTATATTTATAATTGCAAGTCAACTAAGATATGAAAAATCACATCTAACTCTCAATTCAAATCTTAATATCACACCTGAAACAAGTTTCGGATAATATTTATTAATAAAGTCTGAAGAATACCTCATTTGCTTTAGACGTCTTTGGGATGTCTACCCTAACAGCATGTATTAATTGGTCGCTAGAGATTCAACAATGGTCCAATGCTTTGTGCTACTCAAGTAAGACATATTTTAGACATTTATACTATCTTGGGTATATTTCTTAGAGGAAATTTTAAAATGATACAACTTCAACAATACTAAATGTATTATTTCAATCAGAGATGATCCTTATGGAAAGTTTTGAAATGATAGAATTTCATGTGCGAAGATAATTAAGTCGATCTGTAGATACCGACGATCTCACATTGAGATACAATTTTTTTAAGTTTTTGCTAATTTAACAAAATATTAATATCCGCAATGAATAATTTGTTGATACAAGACAGCAAATAAATAGTGGGAATAAATGATTTGTTACTTTCAATTTGCTATTCTAATGCCCGTTTCTACCAACTTTGTTAAACTTAACTGGCTGGTTATTCCAACGGAATTGACCAATCGCATTTCTCTTTGTCAGAATTAACAGATGCGATTGGTCAATTCCGTTGGGAAAACCAGCCAATTAAGTTAACCAAAGTTGATAGAAATGGCCATAAATCAGTGATGTGCATTCAAGCCCAGGCTAACAAGCGTTTGTCTCCTTCCATTTACACACATAGACGCTCTGTCTATCTATGTATAATCGTCGTCACACGGATAGACAGAGCAGCTTGTGTGCATAAGTGGAGGGGGGAAACACTTGCTAGCCCGGGCTCGAATGCACATTACTGCTCTAATAACGTCCCAGACAACACAAGATCTCCTGGACGTCCTAAGAATGTCTTGAGGACGAACAAATGTCCTCAGGATGTACTCTGGATGTCCTCTGGACATCTGTGCTGTTAGGGGTTTTTGAGTGGCTCTGAGTTAATCGTTCCGAGAGCGATTATTGACGTCAAAAGACTTCACTAGCCAATCACAAAATTTACATGAAAATGTTCGACCAATGAACTTTTAATAACCCAGAGTTGATTAACTCAGAGCCACTCGAACACGCTATAAGCAACACTTCTATAATGGAGACATAATTATGAGCTAACCTAAGTAGAACTAGACTAGAACGAATGTGATTTGTATCTGAGGCAATGTATGTTTGTGTGTGTCGAAACGACAAACGATGAGAAGTACGATTTGCAACGGTAGCTACTATATCGGACCTGTTTTTCTAACGATCGTCGAGCAGCAAACATGCTTTTGTTCTGTTTACCGAGGGATTTTTCTCAGCACGAAGAGCGAAAAATCGCGTGGCTTATCATGCTCCGTCGATCGACGACGACGTTTTCGTCGCTCGATACTTTCGCTCGTCGCGTTCCTCGAGTTCGCCGTGTGGCCGCGCCTGAATACGCGCGCCGCGCGCGAAAAAAAATCCGCCATCGATCCCAAGGATCATGCTTGTTTACTTACTTGCACACACACGTCGTCCGATTGTACTTACCCGCGTCCTCCGCGAACACACACGCGGCCCCGGCTTCGCGCGTGCGATAATAGCGATGCTCTTGAAAGCGATTTTAACGTCGATGCATGGTAAATATGTAATATGAGTCGCCTTTCGCGCCGAGAGAAGGAAACTCGTACCCCATTGGCCGTCGTATTCCGCCAACGGTGGTGGAGTTACCAAGCCTCGACACAGTATCCTGTATATAGTCTTATAATCCCGCTTTATACTTTTTATATATCTTACCTCTCTCGTCTCTCTCTCTCTCTCTCTCTTTCTTTTCTCTCTCTCTTTCTCTCTCTTTCTCTCTCTCTCTTTCTCTCTCTCTCGTGAAGGCCTTGAGACACGTATTAAAATTCATCGTACCCGTGAAAAATGCTCATATCGTGGCCGCGCCGCCGTCGGGCGCACACCAGCGCAGCGAGTAGCTCTCTCTCTCCCTTTTTCTTTCTCTGTCATTCTTTCTTTATTGGCAATTCGCTAGAAATATTAAAAAATGTCGTGAAGACCTCGTCGTACATGCCGTAACGACGACTTGGCGCAACGATATTGCGCGATGGACGATCGCGAAAAATGATCCCGTTGATTCCCGACAAATTTTCCGCGAAATAATTGCAGCTGTAAGAAGCGTCGCATTCTCCTTCAAGATCCGCCACGCGTCACGCAAAAATGATGGACCAGAAATAACGAGCGACTTCCTTAGGCGGTTTCCTTAAGATTGTGGTCGCGAGAAAGAAAAACAGAAAAAGAGAGAAAGGACGGAATTTCCGACAGCAACCGCAAATTACGAAGAAAGGCGTTGCCTTAGACGCGCGTAACGTAATTGCGGTCAATTATATCGCCTTACGGCGCGGGCACTCGCGTCTACCACCCTCCTGCCTTACAGCGCGACGACTTGCGGACGACGCCGATCGGTTCGGGACACCGGGTACACACTGGGGAAAGAGAACGTGCAAAAAGAATGCTAAAAGCGCGCAGACTGCGACCTTGACCGAAGCGGTGTCCGCGCGCGAGGCGAACATACGTGCGTCCGTCTAGCGCGCGAGTCGACGAGGGGTTCCTACCATTCCCTCTCGGCTTCGTTCCCGAGACGATTTCTTTCTCGATGCAGACCACTTCTTCGAGGACGTAAACGCCGCGATACTTAAGACGCTCAGGCGGGGCTCGCGCGAGAAGCGAGTGCTTGTTTACACTCGGCGAACTTTTCGAAAGTTCGGCCACGTCCCCATGAGAGAAATTCTAGACGATAGCCATGTTTCGCGCGCGTTATTTGGTAAAAACGTAATTGCAGGAAGTAATTACGTCGACGGAAGTTGTGATTAATTAACACGGCTGTAGAGACGATAACACACCTCGGGATAGAAAAGTCTTCCTTTCTTTCCTTTTCGTTCACTCGACCGACCTGAGAAATTCATGCGCTTCCAAATACAAACAGCCGTTAATTACCGCACGCGATCGCAGTTGGATTGAAGAACTAAGAGAAATTTCCCTTACCGTAGGTAGTCGGAGACGGATGGCCACGAGGACGACGCTTAGAGAGGATTTATTGCAGTCAGAACAGGCGGAACGGCGAAAAGAGAAGAAAAGATACTCAAGGTCAAGGCCAGTCTGCGGGCACTCCCTTTGGCGTGCATCGACAGTCGGTCGAAGATCAGCCCTTCGATCGGACGGGACGATTTTTCGAAGATGCGCGCGAGGCGAGTCAGAGAGAGAGAGAGAGAGAGAAAGAGAGAGAGAGAGAGAGAGAGAGAGAGAGAGAGAGAGAGGGAGAGAGAGAGAGAACGCGCGATCGCAGACAATGCTCTTCGGCGACTTCGCGATACGGCGCTGAAGGTCGTCGCGGAAAGTCGAGATCCGCCGGAGAATAGAACTGTCTCGCACGTACCGGGTGGCGTGATCGAAAAACAGGTTTCGCCTTCTTCACCGCGCACCCTGTCTCGCTGAAAAGCGGGAGTTGGGGGCGAAGTATCGGGACAAATCGACGTCGTCGACACGTCCATCCGTGCGAGAAGCACCCGCAAAAGATACTCCTCTCGCGGAGACCTATTCACCGCTAGCAAAATGTATTCACTGCGCTCGTGCCTTCGTCGAGAATAGATCGCAAGGTATGAAATGCGATATATATCTCGCGACAATCGCGCATTTTTCGTCTAACTTCGCGTCGGAAACTCGGCGCGAACTTCACCGAGGAAGACGCGTCGCGCATTCAGTGCTGAACGTACCTGTCCGATCGCCGAGTTCTATCAGATACACCTCAGGGACCCATTTTGCGCTTGGAGACGAGAATTCGAGAAAGAAAGGCTCGTCTGTTCTTCCGTCCTCCGATCTTCGTAGCTCTTGTTCGTTGCAGGAGAAGAAGGAGGAGGAGAGGAGGAGGAAGAAGAGGCACGCTCTAAAGATCGGCGCCGAACGACCGCAGAGATCGTGAGATGAGCGCGTTTAGCGTTCAAACGCGCACTCGTGAGCGGGAGCTTTCGCGACGCGCTATGTGATACTAAAGAGCACAGCAGCGGACACGCACGCACGCACGCATGCACGCACGCACGCACGCAGAGCAGACAGGCAGGACGGGCGGGCACCGGCGATCGAATTCGAAGGCGAGCGCGATAATTGCACCCGGCGCGACGACCGAAAGACCTCCGACTGCACGTATAACTCGCGCGCTTCGCCGTTGCTGTCGCCGCTCGGCTCGTCGCGTCGCGTCGGGGCGAACGAAAAACGGACAAAGAGTCTTCTTGCGGCAAGAGAGTACCCGCCGGTTCTCGGCCAATGAGAGGAATCGGCAACGATCGCCGCACCGGCGCGGCCGGCCGGTTAACGTTCGAACGGCCGCGCCGCGCCACGCGATCCTTCGCGAAAAGGGGCGAAACAGGTAAGACCCGAGTTCCCCGCGAAACGGGGGATCCAGCAGCGCGAACAGAAGCGAAAGGAAACGCGCGAGTTACCGCCGATCGGCGGGGGGAAAAATTGCTTCCCTCGCGAGAAAGGCAGGCATTTTTCGTCAGGGGGATACGTCGATGAGAGAGTCGTCCCCGCGACAAAGGAGCCAACAAGAACGCGGTTCCCTCGCGAGAGAAACAATGAATTTTTCGCCCGAGGAAGACATCGAAGATGGAGAACCGCAGCACGAAGAGAAGCGAGAGGCGCCACGAGACTGATCGAGTCTGAAAAAGCGAACGAGCTCGTAAATCCTCCCGTGACCTCCTCCGCGAAATCCCGACCTTCGACGCGGTCTTGAACCTCTGCAAAGTTGTCTACTAGGTACTAAGCTAGTCGGTAATTCCGTTGGATTGGTGCAAAAGATCCATTTTTCTATTGAAATCTTGTAAGGAGTTTGGATATTAAAAGGAAAATAGGAAATCCTCGGGGAAGATTTTATAGTAAAAGATGCTTTAGAATTTTGTGATTGAGGAGTAGATCGGCATTCTGCAGTATTCCTTTTATTTCATGTACATTATTTGTACTTTAGGGATCGAAAAAATATGCTGTTAAAAATTTGTAGCAAAATTTATTATGTTCCTTAGCAAAATAGACAATGCTACTCTTGCACTACTAGAAACATAGTAAAATTAAAAAATAATTTTTTATAAAAAAAGACTGTATTCTCTCTTCATATAAATATGTAAGAAAACTTATTGCATTAATCTAATATGTTTCGAAATTTTGCAGGATCAAGAATTGGAAGAAGAGGTTCGCGTTGCTCCAGCGAGAATTGCGGAGGAAGCGCGATACTTAAAGCCAGGAGCACACAGAAAGAGACGTAAGCAGTAAGCAGTAAAACTTAAGCAGTCAGCAAATTGACCAAGCACATCAGATGATTCTTCTCGGGCACACAGAAAAACGTAAATAGTGAAAAAATTGATTAGTTACAACCGATTATTCTTGAACCGTAAGAAGAGTCATCGACTGTGGTTAATCGATTTGCTTACTTTATTTGTGTGCTCCCAGGCCTTAGAGCCAACGCACAAATACATCCGTAACATATTACGTTACGTTAAGTACTGACATTACAATGGCCATATCTGTACGTAAACTTAAATCAACTTAAGTCAACGCACAAAGAAATCCGTAAGCTTAACATGTTACGGATGTTCTTGTGCGGAGGCTCTTACGGTTCAAGGACAGTTGATTGTAATTGGTTAATTTTCTAAGACTGTTTAAGTCTTACGCTTTTCCGTGTACCATCCGTTTAATATCGCGAAAAGTTACAATATCGAAAGTAGCGGAGGTTCCATGCTATTCTTGCAGAATTGCGAGACACGCACCACTGCGTCTCCCCCCTTGCTACCGCGCGATCTGCATAAGATAAGAAGACAACGATGCACCGTCGACAGGTGCAACGTCACAAAGTTACCCGCGATGGATTGATTAACGCGATATATGTACGCCGCGAATGTTATATACGGGTTATTAATTTAATTTACAATTCTGTAATAATATCGTACTCACTCGGCGTGACGCCAATTTAGCTACTTCGAAAGAACGTCAAGAAAGTCGATCGAATATGGGGAACATATAGTTGTTAAGACTATTACCTCGCATCGTCGTCCATGCGTTCTAAATATATTAAGTCGCGACGTATCGTACGTGTGGAAACGCGAAAAGTGAAAGCGAACGCGTCCGATGCGAATCAGTACTTCCCGAGTATTTATGCAGGTGCAAGCGGCTGGAGTGACCGTCCATCTTTCCGTCGTTAAAGATACTCGTCAGATACTTATTCCGAAGAAATCTCTCGGAAGTCTGCGTCAAACTAAGTATTGGAGATTAAAGATTGCGGATTAGAGATTAGAATCCAATGAATCTCAACTAATTTCGAACTTGGCTCACTCTCTCTAACCTGGTTCCAACTTTCAATTGTCCATCCGCGGTCCTTAATCCCCAATATTTGACCCGACATATGCTTTATTTTGCATAAAGCAACTTTCTACGAATGAACGACCAAACGGGCGCGAGAAAGAAAACTCTTGCGTTAATATGCGCCCCGATTTTTGTTGCACGGATCACCTGTTCGCTCCGTTCGTTACACCGACTTCCAAGAAGCACTTAACGTCCTCCTCCCTGAGGAAACCCTGACTTAAGCGTGATCGAACTCTATCATTTCCCAGGCTACAATACCTAGAGGAGGCCGACTACCAGCTGCACCCGCACTCAATGTCACTCGGCCGAGACCGCCGCAGGAGAGCATCCGATGAGCGCGAGCGAGCCGCGGCGCCGTGCCGGCACAGAATGGTATGACGACGACGACGACGAGGGCAGCGGCGACGACGAGGATGACAGCGGAGACTACTCGGATGAGTAACAAGTACGTAAAAGCGCGTTATTGTACTCGCAGGGCGGAGACGCGCGTCCTCGACCGCGACCGCCCGTGCTTGGCGGTGAGTTCTAAGAGCGAGCACTCCGGTCGGACACTCCGTTCGAGCACTTCGCCATCTACGGATGCACTAGACCCGGCATCGAGCTCTCTTTCTCTCTCTTTCTCTTCTCCTCCTCTCTTCTTTCTCTTTCTCTCTCTTTCTCTCTCTCTATCTCTCTCTCTCTCTCTTTCGTTTTCTCTCTATCCTTCTTTCTTCCGCTCCCGCGCGGCTTCGCTTCTGTATCCCTCGCGCCGGCAGGAATCACAGACAATTAATCATAAAAGGCACGAGTGTTTTAAAAGCGGTCCCGCGCGTGTATTGGTCCGCTCTCGCGGTGGTAGCAGTCGACGCCTGTGCGACGACCGCGACATGCATAGAAAAAAGCCCGAAAGGGGAGAGGGAACCGTAGGGCAAGAGGGCGAGGAAGCGGGCGAGGGCGAGGACGAGAGGGAGGAACGTAGAGAACCGGTTCTACGGGGGGTTCTGATGCCTCAACCCGAGCGCGATCCGTCTGGGTTAGCTCGCGACTTGCAACGCGGCTCGATTTACCTCGACTCCCAGCGACTCCCGCGAGAACGTCTGCTCCGGTGCACCACCTACCCACCTACCCACCTACCTACCTATCTACCTACCTACCTACCTACCCACCTACCTACCCACCTACCTACCTACCTACCTACCTATCTACCTACCTACCTATCTACCTACCTACCTACCTACCTACCTACCTACCTACCTACCTACCTACCTACCTATCCACCTACCTATCTATCCACCTATCTATCTATCCACCTACCTATCTATCTACCTATCTACCTGCTCGCCGGCTTGTCTGACTGCCTGCTTGTCCGCCCATATCTGCCTACCAACCTACCTGCCTACCTTCGACCACGAAAAGCTCTCACAGAATTCTCGGCCGTGAGACCTCCGCCGATTCTCTCCAAGGGGATACAGACAGAGCCGCGCTCTCGAGATGCAATGTATCTTGCGAGCGTGACGTCGCGTCGCACAGCTTCCGCCCGATTGCGTGGCGCAATTTCAGCACCTCCGCGATTCCACAGGGCGCCAAAACTACGTAGGAAAAAAAGCGGGAAAATACCGTAGCTTTCGAGTATAGTCGAAATTATTGCGTAACCGAAGATTGCACGAGATCGCCATTGAGCAATTGCAAAATCTTCCTTGTACTTTGCAGTCTGTCCTTTGTAGTCTATCCGTGCTGGCGAATGCGAGATCCGCGCAATTTTCGACGTTGCTACATTCGACCCTGATCGCCAACCTGATCGCGGACGCCTCAATGTTTCGATAAGGCAAAAAGGAATCGAACAGAGCGGAAAAAAATATTGATCCCGAACAAAGGAACGCCGCATCATGAAGCATTCATGTTCCAGAGCACGCTGAAGACTACAACCGACCGCGTCTCGTGGGTCGGCCCGGACGTATCGCGAGCTGTAATCTGGATGCACCGCTCTGACATTTTGAAGAATCCCGATGAAGGATGGGCGCGAGCCGCATACTTTCGGTACGGCGCGATGGCACGACTTTAATAAGTTGCAGGATCAAGAGCACTGCAGAACCGCGAAGACGTAATTTGAACAAAGCGACGCGCATACAGATGACGCGCGCCTAAGAGCGCTCATCGACTCGCATACGCGGGGCGATTCTCAATCCAGTGAACGCGAACATTCCAAATCCGAAATACCGAACATATATTCAGTTGAGAAATCGTGCTGCTAGAGACAGAATTAACAAAGATCTCGTTTTGCTCTTCTAATTTCATTGCTCGACAACTACGACGAGGAAGAGCAATGAAAAACGCGCTTTTCAAAACGAAAATTTCGCCAAGAGGTTTCACCGAATATGCGCGACGTGAATCAAAGAGACGAACGCACCGCAACTCGCATTCCTGCACCGGCAGGATGATAAGTTCGCGCGCGCGCGCGCGCGAGAACGCATACGTGTGTGTGCGCGCGCGCGTTTACCGTCGCATTACGAGGATCTGTACGTACAACAGCCGGCTTCGTCGGCCCCGGCACTGACCTTGGGCGCCGAGTCCCGAGCATCGCCTCTCGGCGCGCCATAGACGCGAGCTGCTTTAAAAGCAGCACGCTCGCTCCTTTCATCGTCATCGGGAGAGGAGTGCAGGGGTGTACTCCCGAAAAAGCTACCACCAGGTTGCTAGGTAGTCAGCGGGTGCGCTCCGCGACATCGTCAGCGACTCTCGCGCAACTATGCGGGAGCCGACGCATCACTCCGTTGCAGCATCTGTCTATCGCAGAAATAAAAAAAACTGCTCTGTTGCTCTGTGAGGAAGATAACGAAGAGCGTGATGAAGAGCAAAGTTTCCGCCACTACTTAAACCGCTGATACTACACACGCGATGATGAGGAGTTGATGATATATGGGATTGTAAACTGTTTTATCGCGGCTCATTCATAATGAACCGAAAATTGATTCGCGAGCTATTTCGCTGACGAAGAGATGTAAAGTGAAAATTGTTCTTCTTGTAGTGTAAAGGTAAAAACATCAATTCCGGGACACGTATTTATTCCCGAACTTATTGCCTTGGTCTCTAAATATATATTTAAACTTTCAACATAAAAAAATATATTCAATATATCTGTTTATATATATTTTATGTTGAAAATTTAAATATTCGCACTTAAAGACTAAAACAATAAAAGTGTCCAGGTACCATGATTTGGTACGTGTCTGGATATTGGATCTTTTTAATTTACAGGTGATACCCGTACTGTTATATTGTAAATACTTGTAACAAAAGTTGAGTAGTTTCATACACTGTTTTTGTCATTGGAATTGTTACGATCTGGGCATCAATCGTAAATCGTTTTGAACTAGATCTTATCAGTCATGTAATTTTTTCCCTAGTAAAAAGATAAAATCATAAAAAATTAATAATTTCGCATTTGATGGCGATCATGGATTTTTTCCTTTAATGTAAACTCGCGAAAAGTGAATATTTCCAATGCTACATTTTCACTTTTTACAAGTTTACACTAGGGAAAAAAATTCATAATTGAGACTGCCTGTAGCGTAGTAAAATTAGAAATAGGAGGCTTTACACTGTAGCTGAGGAAAATATACAGAGTGCACTTGAGCATAATTCTAGTTTGGTCTCAGGTGCATTCTGATCCCACTACACTCCTGCAAAGGAGAGTGCAGGATGAGTTTCTAGCAACTTCCATCGCTGAATACAAAGTCACAAAAAGTTCTATGCAAGTTCGCGCTCGTCGAACCGCTTCCCAGTGGCGGACAAATCCCCAAGGAGATGGTTTGAGAAATTTGTCGAACCCCCAACGATACGGCGAGACACGATTACAAGACGCAGCTAATTGATAATTTATATTATGGTCCTATGATGTTCATAAAGAGGTGAAAAATATTTTCTCGTATGATATACGCATACGACATAAATTTGGATCATTTTCAAGTGATTGTAATTAACGCTAAAATAAAGTAAATAAAGTAGAACGCGATGGCCTCGTGTTCGCCGATGGACGAGGAATTCTTCGTCCGACGCAAAGAATTGCGTCCAATAACATGTCACCTCGATTAGCATTCGTCGTTTCTACACGTCGCGAGATCTCTCGTTAATCTCTACTTTAACTTTTGACAGCGGAGAAAACTCAATGACTCGAGCGTAGTTCTATATAAAGCGGGCGACAATGAGCAGCAATTCACGGCGAGATTGATGAGACCACGCGCATTAGTCGCGACGGGATTTCAATAGTCATCGTTGATCTTTGCGTTCACTTACGCGACTTGCGTCGAGAAAAAATATCGAGCGGTTAAAGCGGTCCCCTGTCTGCTAAACGGTTGACACTTGTTGATATTGATGAATTATCCAGCGATTATCGCGAAATTCCAGATAGTCCTTTAAACTCGTCTCTTTGGCTCGAGAGAGGACAACGAGTGTCATCTTCGGCGAACATTGCAATTAACACGCTGATCAAATGCAACTAGTAATTCACTTACGATGCACGAGTCGTCCGAGGACTTCGCGCTGACCCTTGATCCTCTTCAAGCGAATCCATGCGAAATCGAATGAAGTGAACCCAATAGGGTGATGATTCTCCTCTATTCTCCTGATAATTTCTAGACACAGTGGTTCTTTCGCGGCGATTGCAGTGCAATCATTTGCAATGTTATTTAATTTGTCTACGAATCGTCAGTTCTCTTCAATTCGTATTTCTCAACATCTGTACAACCTCAAGAGCTGAAAACGTACTGAATAAATGATCAAGACTCTCAACTAACGAGCCAAGCAAAAATCCGATCAGATCGAGTTCGCGGTAAGGAGCGAGAAACGAGTGCCAGACTATTTATGAGTTGACATACAAGTTGAGATCTACGAATCTATTACGAATGCATTCCGATCGAAAACCTAATTTTGCAACTATCAAGTTTTCATCGCGATTTCGCTCGTATTTTTGGAATATCATTATAAATCTGCTTTAGAATTGATCTGTCGTCACTATGTGACGAAAGAATTGATGAGGTAAAAGTATCAGTGCCTGAATACGTACCTAATGATGGATATGCTTACTGTTTTGATCTTCAAATATGAATATCTAAATCAAATTACTAATATATATATTAGTTACAAGATATTATATATATATATATATATATATATATAATATTTAAATTTTCAACATAGAATATATTTATATATTTTGTATTAAGAAAATTTAAATATTCATGTTTATATATATATATATATATAAACATGAATATTTAAATTTTCTTAATACAAAATATATAAATATATTCTATGTTGAAAATTTAAATATTATATATATATATAAAATATTTAAATTTTCAACATAGAATATATTTATATATTTTGTATTAAGAAAATTTAAATATTCATGTTTAAAGACCCAAACAATAGAAAGAATGCCCAAAGAAAAATGATGGATACAAAATTATAACATTACATAAGATTTGGCCTGAATTTCAATCTAAATCAATGTGAATCAATAAGATAATGATTGATTTACATTGAAATTCGGATGTAATGTAATCTTATGGTTTTAAGCAGAAACGTGTCCAGATATTGGCACTTTTACCTTAATAATCTTCTTCAATTATTACGTAAGATCTCCGTAACTTCGTTCCAATCAAAATTGTCTTTCCTTTCACCAACAAGATGAAATCTTTCCAATTGTTTCAGAGATACTCGCAACAGGATTACTAATGGAAAAACGGAATAATACCAACTGGAAAGTTCGCCCCATCACAGTCCCATCGTAGACCCTCATTCGCCCGGATTCTCAATATCGATTCCGATCGACAGCGGGGATCGATGCCACCCGTGGAAACCACCACGTCGCGGTGGCGTCTCGCGGGGCTGCTGCGGTGGTGGATTGTTCTGCGCGTACACGAGCGAGCGAGCGAGCGAGCGAGCGAACGAGCGAGTGCGGAACACAATTCCTGCTGGCCGATGGAAAGTTGGCTGGCTCGCGTGTTGCCCGTGCCATAGGAATTTAAACGGGGATATAAGTATAAGAACGCGGAGACGGGGAGTCGTTCGCGGTAGTGTGAGGCACAAACGCGCCACGGCACCACACCCAGAGTGCCCATCGTTGCGACAAGGGACACGGCCATGCGCGTCGCGGTGATTGTGAGTACCCAAGCTCAAAGTGTTTTCCATCCGCGCCATCCTTGCGCCATCCTCCTCGAGTTTATCCTGCGCCCTGACTCCGCGAATTAGAGAGACGGGGTGAACGCGGAGGTTCCGTCCCACAGAAACAATCTGAGATCTTGATCCGCGAAATTGGGGTTGCTTGGAGAACGCTCGGATCTCTTCCCAGCTTTATCTCTATTTTCGACACGTCGACATCATTCCTGTCCTTCTGTTAAAAAAATCGGGACGAATGATCCTTTTAACTATTGTTTTCGAAGAGTAATGGTACGGGGATGTAATTGAGTGCGCGTGGAGTGTGAAATAAGGAGAAATCGGTTGCGATATACCTTAAAATTCTACGCTGTAGAATTAATTTGCGCTTTTAATTATTTACAAATAGTAACTGTGTCGAGAGGGATTTCATGGAGATCGGGAATTCGCGAAATACATTCCTGCTTTTGTGCTTCTTCACGCTCATTGCTTCTTATCATAATTTTCATTATTTTCTATGAAAATAATAAGGGTAACGAAGTGGTAAATCGCAAGGAAGTAATTCGAACAGCTAGAGGACGTTTTCGTCGCGTACGACCACCCGCGAGGCGGATCATCGCAAAAAGTCGTCACGTAACCGACACGTTAACGAACGGCTTGCGCGCAGCGCAAAGGGAGAGGGAGTCGTCTGCGGCATTCTTCCTCGGCTCCGCGTATCTCCCTCGCATGCTCGGAGGTCTTCCGATTGTTCCTGTTGCACGAGGGAGAAGCTAAAACGAGATTTCGAACGCCCCGCGTGCGCGCTTACGCTCGCGCGATTTTCGCTCGGCGAAGGCCGAAAATCGCGAAGAACGCGCGGCGCCGGGCAACCGAGGAGAGTGAAAGCGTCCGGTAAGAAAGTCGCGGACAGATTTTTAGCCGTAAAGCCGTAAAGCCGTAAAGCAAACGGCCGCGCGTGCCCCGACTCGGAACCGCGCGAAAGAAACGAATTCGCCGTGCAGCTCGATTCGCCCGGCCGTTGCCATGCCGCTCCGGTGCATTCCAACGAAAGCCGCCGGAACCGCGCGCGAAGATACGAGCTGTTCGATCGCGTCGCGCCGCTCCTATCGAGATCTGCTAAACGCGCCACTTTTGCTCCGTATCAACTCGCCCTAAGTCCATAATTATATCATTGGTCAGGAGATAGAGTTAAAATTGTGTACAGCGCTCTGCAGACGATCTACAATCTGCCACCGACCTCGAGACGGAATTCCAGTCGGAAATTTTACGCGCCGTTTAACACAGAGAATGTACTTCTGATTCTTTCGACGTTTCCTTGCGGATAGAGTCCATTCTGTATTCGGAAGGGGAAAATGGAAAGAAACGAGAAGGTTTTAGCAGCAATGTGCCACTACTTCACCACCTAGTTAACGACTCGACGAAGGACCGTGCACGAGTTTTTTGTGCGTATTTATGTCATACGGATTCATAAACAATCTGAAAAACAGATAGTAGCGATTGTACAAAAACCTTCTTGTTTCTTTCTCTTTTAAGTTCCTTTCCGGAAGTTTCAGAATTTGTTTCGTGCGCTTTTTTGATGGACATCAAAAAAGTTACATTCATTCTTAATCGTTGATTTTATTAGTTTACATAATTGTTTTATATAATTATTACGCACCGATGATATATAACAACACTTAGAGAAAAACATGACGACGACTACTAGAATTTTGTACGTAGAATTGTAATGCGTATAGTTTAGTAAAATATTTTGTAGTTACTGAAACTAAAACTCCAGTTGCAATAACTATAAAATAGTTTATTAAACTTCTTAATCTTAATACTTTTTCCCTGAATGTACTTTTATATGCTATTTCTTTTTATCCACCGAGGTTGTCGCTTGCGAACGTTAGACAAGTTTCAAATTAAACTAATCGAGCGAATTTTTCGATCGGAATGAAAGCTGAAATAGAAAACTCGACGAGCGCGAGCATAGTCGTCAAACAGGTCATTTAAATGCATTTCTATGATGTCTTTTTAACGCTCGTATGCGAAATTTCTCTCTCTCTCCCCCCTCTCTCTCTCTCTCTCTATTTTTTGTTACTTCCCGTCCTCTTTAGCTATCGTAATCATCGATGCGATCGCCAGCTTTTAAATGTCAGCCGATTAAGCGTGGTTACGCGTATGTACTTATGCAGGATCGGGAATGTATACATTACGCGACTTAAGGCCCTCGGAATCGAAACACTTTCTCTTTTCTCCCGCACGACGCAGTCGATTTTGCGTATGTAACAACGTACCTTGCGTCGCCGTGTTTGTAACACGCGACACGAGAGAACCAGAATATGTAGTGCGTTGTAGAGCGAGTCTGGCATAACGCGTTACACGCTCGTTGCCGTTCATTGATTCGCAGATCTCGAGGTAGCGTGTAGAAATTTTCGCAACGGTTGTGATCGGCGCGCGGTAATTGCCGTATGATGAAAACGCACGAACTTGAATTGCCGATGGGATTGTCGGTGAAAACTTAGAAACTTGACGGGTGCTATCGTTGGGGAAACATCAGACGCTATTTCCGAGCGATTAGCATACGGCTGTAGAAAACGAATGCGTAGCAAAAAGTAAATCGCATATTTCATCGAGAAAATCGTATCTGCAATGAGAGAAAAAAATATCTAAAAATATGGCAAATCTTTATTTGGCGGGTACACTATAATAACATATTCATTCAAATTTGAATTCTTTTATTTAAATAGAATAAACAACTGCTTTCGTGAAAAGTTAAGATTTCCTTAAGTTTTCAAGGAAATATATATTTTTTTATTTGAAAAATTGTTTATATTAGTATAAGTAAATGTGTGTTATATTAAGATAAATATTCACTGGATAAATATTCACTAGTTCTTGCGTAGTTTTTCTCTCAGTGTACCAGAGGACATTGATATCCATCGGAATCATAAAGTCAGGATTAGAAAGTAACAAGTGAAGCTGAAGAAAAGAATAACGAAGATTGCAACGACAACTAATGAGTATTTTTAAATGATAACTTCCTCAATTCTACATAGAATGTTCACATGTACAATCCCAGTGTACAATGCCAACAGCAGCAGTTGGCAGTAACAGCTGCTGCTAACATTTCCTTCCGCGAGCATTGAGGTCGTTAAAAATCTGTACGGTAGTAAACTCAAGGCATTAAATCATACCAAGACTCTCTAAATCGACACTATAGAGGCAATGAAGTGGAATGTGCCAATTTATATTTGATTTAATAACACTATGGGGCAAACATCCGGAGAGCGAGTGCCACGAGAAAGTTAATGGACATTGAATCGCGATTTAAGGAATCTTTCTTTTTCTTTTTCAGTTGTTGGCGTGCGTCGCCGGCGTACTCTGCTCGGCACAGTTCCAAGACGGACAAAGAGGACTATCGAGTCCGGTACGAGCAACCCGTTATCAGAGACTACCACCACCTCGGCCTACTGGACCGCAATCTTCTATCTTTCCCAATCAACGGATTCGTCGACCAATCACTTTCAAGTAATTCACGATCATTATATACTTAATCCAAACGCGAAATAGTTAACTGTGTGGAAAGACGGAGAGAGAGAGAGAGAGAGAGAGAGAGAGAGAGAGAGAGAGAAAGTTTAGAATCTTGAAACAATCATTTTTGCATTTATTTTGGTATAAAAAATATTCTGTTTGCAAAACGTATACTTTATCATTTCTCAAAATATATCAATGCGCAAAATAGGAATTCAAATAACACAGAGAATTTAAAAAGAATTCAAAAAGAATTCAGTTGTATGTCACCAATTCTGAGTTAATTCTCAGATGCAAAGAGAATTCTTCAGAGTTCAATTCAATAAAAAAAATTCTTTTTATATTTAAAAATAAATTCAGAATTGATGACATACAACTGAATTCTTTTTTAATTTCTTCGATAGTATGGTGAGGTAGAATGCGACCTTGTTAGAAAATTTAATCGCGAGGAATATAAATGACTGCTATTGCTAAAAAATCAAAGCGATAGATCAGTGCGAAAAGCTGCTCGAGCCATTGGAAAGGTGGGAAAACCAGTTTGAACGGTGCGCATATTTGTCTAAGAAGTGCAGAACAAACCGACATACCGCCGTTAATTGGTCTAACGGACAACTCAGCTTTAATACTATGTCCGCGCGCGTTGTATCGAGCAGGAAATATGAAATTATTGACGTGTTGGAGATTACAAACGCGTTTGAAAATTACTGGATTACGTAACGTCAACAAAAACGTCACAAAAATTGCCCATAGCGCAGGCTTGCAAATCAGAATAAGAAAGTCCGGGTACTGTTTTATCAGAATGCTTGCCACTACAGCTCTGTGTGGTTTTCCTCCGGACAATTTAACATTTATCTAAAAATATGATATATGAACCCAGATAGTACAGAGAATTCTAAAAGAGTTCAGTCACCAATTCTGAGTTTATTTTTAGATACAAAAAGAATTCTTTTCACTGAACTGAACTCTGAAAAATTCTTTTTACATTTGAAAATGAACTCAGAATTGGTGACATACGACTGAATTCTTTTTGAATTCTCTGTGCTATCTGGGAAGTGTTCTTAAAAACTTTCCAAAATATTTAATTGTATAATATTATATCACAAATATTTAATTGTTCAACTGTTAAACATTTAAACATTCAATGTTATACTTTGTATGTATCAGACCCAAAGGTCCTGGGGATG